GAGTAGCCCATTCAGTACACAATGCTGTCCCACGTGAGTGAATGGGAACCACATGCAGTATAGCGAATTTTGGATAGAAATAGGTGAGTCCCAGATACGCGATTTCGCACAAAGCGAACCCAGCACGAATCGAGGGAAACCTGTATTAATTTTCTGTAGCAGGTCCCAGCACGTGGAGTGAAACATCACAGAGCTCGAGAGAAAACCCGCAGAAACTTACGTATTCATATTAAGGGGGAAACGTGCGTTTCACAAGCAGATTGAAGCAGGTAATGAGAAGATCTGTCCATAAACTAAACCATTTTTTTATTTGACTCTTTCTCAGAAGCGACCTGGCCACAAATTAAAGCTGAAGGAAGTGGCTTATCACGTGTACATTTATAGCAGCCGTATACTCGAAACGCATGTTGATTCAATTTCGATTTAAAGCTTTCGTGACTGCAGGGATTCATCTTCTTGGTTCTTTCGGTAAAGTCACGTAGAAGGGAAATAATAAAATAATAAAAATAAAACATAATAAGATAATTCTCACGACGCTTTGGCCACAACGCAAGAAGAAGTCCTCAGGTGGAGACCAGGTCTGTCGGGGAAACAGCGTGAGCGTCTCCCCGACAGACCTGCTTGCGTTGTGGGCGAAACGTCGTGAGAATTATTTTATTATGTTTTATTTTTTATTATTTTATTACTTCCCTTCTACGTGACTTTACCGAAAGAACCAAGCAGACGCGTGTTGATTCTAAATGTGGAGGGAAAAACCAGAGGACCCGGAGAAAAGTCCATTCGAGCACGGTGCGAGAGACACGCAAACTCCAAATATACAGCAGCAGCAGGCGTCAGGGTCGGGATCGAACCCACGACCTCCTGCATACCAGGCGAGGTAGTTAACATCTCATCATGCAGGCAGGGTCATATTTAGCTTCACAGTGGCAGTGAAATTGTATCATGCACGGGTGATACAGCGCATCTGGGGCCAGCCCTACTGCGTGTTGGTGGCTGCACGTGCAGGGGAGGGTGATGGAGCTTGTCTGGTGCCGGGCGTGGGGGGGGGGACGACTACTTGGGGATTTCACTGCGGCTGTCGCGCCCTGTAGCTAATCCGGCACCCGCTCGTTATCCCTAATCTAACACATGTCGCTACACAGTTGGGGCTTGACTTGACGAGCGGCGGCACCACGCCGCTTTGGTCTTGCAAAATCATCTGAAGGGTCGTCTGCCGGCGGCGGTCGTTAATGCTTGGGGCTGAGCACGATTGCACCGCAATATTAGACGCCAATGTGAGCTGCTTGTGTGCATGGGAAGGTGGTGCATGGAATTCGGTTCCGCTTGTTTGACACCGAAAGACCTTATCAACTTGCCTAATGCTGAGCATTTCAATGTTGTTAGTTTAACCATTATCACATCCCACAGTCGTCCTGTCCAGTTTGTTTCCTGCTTTGGCTGCCATTCCATCCCCAATCGGATTAATTGATCTTCATTCCTTCGAGGGATGTGTTCTACCAAAGCCCAATTATATATATTGATTTTGAAATGAACAGTCAATATGATTTCTTTAATATGCATTTTTCTACTGATCCATGTGTTCTTCTTTCATCATAGTAATTCTCAGCACATTTCGTTCCCACGCTTCTTTATGTGCTTCAGTTTTTGTTCCATTTTCTTTCATTTTTGTGATCCGTGTCATAGCAGGCAATATGCACGAATCGATAACGTTTCTTTCTAACGGAGCAATGAACTCAGAAAGAACAGGACCAAGATTGTAGCATCATTACACGATGAGAAATTGGGTTAGCGTGGGTACGCATTCATCCAGCAGATCATGGTGAATGATGATGACATCCAATGTTCACGAGAAAAGTCACTACTGTTGCTCGACATGCCCTCATGCGCTTTAGTATATTTAGTTTTGTTGTACAACTGCAATATACAATTGCAGCTCCTATATAAAATAAAGAAGACTGCCTAATTTTCTCGACTAATCAAATAAAGCACAATTTCATGAAACATCTTGAAAAAATATAACATTTTCAGGCAGTATTTAATATTAACGGTAGTCAACATTTCGGTAATGCACGTCTGGAGATTAGATTCCAATCATTAAACTTCACACAGGGCAGATGGGTAGACGAAAAGCCACCATGCTAATGGGGATCTGTAGTTTGGCCACAAAGCAAATCCCCATCCTTGGGAAGCGCAGAGAAATGGGGTCATGTCTCCAGAACAGGCCGTGTACAGCGCGTAAAGCTGACCCACAATGACAAACCCCTAATTGATTTGTCTCAAAAGTGGGTCTAATTACACGGATTGGGGCTTCTGTCCAGACAGCGTGGAGCTCAAAATTGAGGCTTGCCATACATGACTGCTCTTCAGTCTAGAGGCCTAGCCCAGTTAACCTGGTTCCTATCGGGTTCATGGTCACCACGTTGACTGCCTCGCATAGTGTACAGGTCATGGGTTCGATCCCGACTCTGAAGATCGTATATTTGGAGTTTTCATGTCTCTCCTCGTGGTCACGTGGATTTATCACCAGGTTCAAAACCGTCCACTTTTAGAAACATGTTTTTTGAGTATTTGGCTTCTTTAAATTTCCACTTCGTTGAGCTGTCATTTGTGACCAGGTCGCTTCTGAAAAAGAGCTATATCGCTCATTGGGCCTTACCTGGTAAAATAACTATTGTTTTTGCCTGGACTAATAGGTTCAATGTCTACAGTATTTCGGTATTTTTTTAGGGGAGAAAAAAATATTTTATGAAATTTTCACATATAATATAATCACAATATAAATGAATCTATTTGCCAGTGCTGTTGCCCAAACGGCTACCGTTTAAAAGACCATGCAATAAACGTTACAGTCATTACTAATTGGCTGGGTGGCTAGCATTGTCAAGAGTACTGAGCTGGCACAGATGAGATCTTTGGTTTAAATCTGGGTACCCACCTGTGATTAAACTGAATCCTCAAGTGAAGCGACTTAATGGTTTAAGCCTGGTAAATAACTAAAATATTAATTAATTTGTATTTTCACTTAATTATAAATACATGTATTCTTATTTTGAGGATTTCTATTTTCATTTGACTGACATGCGATGACAACTTTGCATCAGTTTATATAAATGGTATGGTATTCTGGGCGTGAATTCAGCAGCCACTTCACGTGGTCTCAATGTACATCTATCCTGGCACAAGTGCTACGGTGACATCACCGCCACTTTATTGTGAATGGCGGTTGTTGTTGTGTTGTTATCGCGGTGACCTGTCATAGCTGACATTTTCTAGGTCTATTCTGACACAGGATGATGCACTGCTAGCTGTACGCATACCACATAGACATACCACGTGGACGTGTTGAATTATACGATAATTTGAATAAAATTTTAGTACGAAGTACACAATAATTTACGCAGCTATTTTTACTGGTCTCCATTGCTAAAGAGAAAATGTTTATTATTGTACTTTGACCTTCATAAATAAAGGCCTTCCAGTAAACAAATATATTTAATGTGTAACTGCATTTCACTCTTAAATGTATTATTACATTCATCACGATTTGAAATGTCATACTGCCTGTAATCTAACTATATGTGCAATATTTGCTTAATCATTTCATGGTATGGAAATACACATCATGTATAGCTTTTTACTGTGTAACATTTTTTTTTGTTCCTGGGTAGTAAGTATTATTAAATCCTTTATATTAAGTTCACTTGCTTGCTTGCTTGCGCGCTTACGACCGTGCAAATCTTTCGGTCGTTTGTAAATCCTTTATATTAAGTTCGCTTGCTTGCTTGCTTGCGTGCTTGCTTGCGTGCTTGCTTGCTTACGACCGTGCAAATCTTTCGGTCGTTTTTTAACCCACTTCCCGTGATCCAATCGAGCTGATATTTTCCACACAGACTCGTTGTGCGAGACAATTAATGTTCGTGAAAAAAAATTCCCAAAATTTGACACTGTTTAGGGAAAACAAATTAAATATTTAATTACCAATTGCTTAATACTGGCAGACAATCATCTGACCCATAGGTGGCAGCCATCTCAAGCCAGAGGACGAGAAGACTCTAGCCGCCACGCATATAAAGGATTTATAGTGAAAAACTTTGTTTTTACGGGTTTCCTTGTTTAACCCACTTCCCGTGATCCAATCGAGCTGACATTTTGCGCACAGACTCATTGTGCGTGACAATTTATTGTCGTGAAAAATTTTTCCAAAATTTTCCACTTTTTAGGATTTTTTTTTTCATATTTAATTTAAAATACCAATGTGATAAAAATGAAACTCTTACTCAAGAAAAACAGAAATGAATAATAAAATAAAACCGATGCCACGCATATAAAGGATTTATAGTGAAAAACTTTGTTTTTACGGGATAATTTTTTTTCTAATTGCTTATGCCTCAAAAGTACAGAAAATGGCTATTATTCCCCACAAACTTTGCTTTTGTGACCAGGACAGTGATATTTTGAAATTGACCTATTTTCAATGATAAAACGTGGTGTGCATTTGTGTCATTCCTTCATGTAAAGTCCTGGTCACAAAAGCAAAGTTTGTGGGGAATAATAAGAGCCATTTTCTGTACTTTTGAGGCATAAGAAATTAGGAAATAACACTTACTACCCAGGAACAAAAATTGTCTTACATAGTGAATGTAAAGGCCGTTGGGACAATGAAGGCCTCCCCATGCCAGACTAATCAAGGCAGTTGTTTGACCATACTTGACCATACTGGTCAGTGTGTGTTGGTGAAGGAGATGCCCAGGATCAGTTCAGATACCATTCGCCACCGACGTTATCCACAGTCGGGAATTGAACTCACATCGCCCGGTTCACTGAGAAGGGCGCTATCAATTGCACTACCGGTCCACCCCGTTTTAACTCTTATGCTTCTCATATTTAAGAAGAGCTGATATACCACAGCCTTCACGCAACAACCCTATTTAACGTGGATATGTGTTACTAAGTAGACAAAATGTACGGGCCTTGCAGCGCATGTTGAGTTCACTTTACACATCAATACCACCGAGTCGTTTGAGTCAACGTGTTTTATTATAAAACACAGAATCAATTCCTGTACATGAATGCAAAATGGATGGAACAATCCATTCAAAGTAGTAAACAACACTGCTTGCACCATTTGAGTTTACATTTTATAAAGAATTTAAGAACCAATCTCTGAACCGTTAAAAACGCACATGTCAAGTGCAGCACGAGTGCGAAAGAAGTTCAACGTACACACGTCGACCAAGCAAATAACATGGCGATAAAAAGCTGGTACACATGTATTTCAAACATGGGCACGTCGTAATATTGCCTCTTCCAAAACCTGCTGCTATAAAAACAAGTAAAAACAACCTCACCCTCGGAACTGTTACAGCCATGGTCCGTTTCAGACACCATATCACATTCTGCAAGTTTGCGTAATATCGCTGTGCAATGAACCCTCCATGGGAGGGTGAGCAGTGCTCTATATTTAATGCAAAATGGGATGCTGTCTGCCTCCTTGAGCGCACTTGGTTTGACTGTCAATTCCAGAGGTTTTGAAGACAGTGCTTAATGCTTAGTGCCTCCGGATGCCACGTCATATTACACCACTGCTCATCACGTATCGTATATACTGCATATGCACACACAGCGCGATGATAGAAGTTGGCAGCTTGGAGATGCATGCAGACTTGTGTGCAAGACATCCATCCAAACGTGCTAAATGGCAGTCCACAAATGAGTTTCCGACGTTTATATACAGACTGAGTGTCATGCCTTGTTATGCATGTGGGTTTTATCACGGTACTGTGGTTTAGTCCCACACGTAACAGTACTCAGTCTAGAACTGGCCATACGTCACAATCCAGGACCTTCCTGAATAAGTATCCTGAGACTCAGGCTTTGCTGGACAAACAAACATTCCATTCATTTAGCTAAAGAACAAGTCGCCAGCCTCTTCAACCCCCACATCAGGCACCGTCTGGTCGTCGTTCCTGGCCCGCGCATAGCCTGCATTCACACTCGGGTTCACGGACATAGTTCTGGAATTCGTGGCGGTGTCCGTGGCTGAGCCTGCGTCGCCAACTCTCAGCCACGGGTGCTGCAGGGCATCCCGCGCCGTGGCCCTCTCGGACGGCTCGTGCCGCAGCAGGCCCCCGATGAGGCAGCGTGCCGCCGGCGAAAGCCACTCGGGGAGCGCGTAGCGGCCGTGGCGGATCTTGCGGAAGAGGGCCGAGGGTGCCGGGTCGTGGAACGGGTAGCGGCCCACGAGCATGGCGTACAGCGCGACACCCAGCCCCCACACGTCGGCGGCACGGCCAGAGTACGGCACGGGCCGGGGAGCGCCGGCGGATGCGGACGGCGACGACCGCAGCAACTCGGGGCTCACGTAAGCCGGGCACGCGCGACGGTCGGTCAGAGAGTCGTCCGTGCCCTGCAGCAGCAGCGCGTCCTCCAGGCCGTCCAGCACCAGCTCCGTCCTGCAGCGGGGACATCCATTATTGCAACTTTCATTGTTCTGCAAATGCTCCACTGTTGTAGAAATAAGTTAGGGAAAATCATAAATATGTGTTCGATATGTAATGGATTCCAATGTGGGTTTGTCTGGAAGTACTGAAATAGCAGTGTGGAAATCGATGGGTAGTAGTCGAGGCAATAAGCGTTTGAATATTTGCCAATAGTCTTCTTTGCTCTGGTTTGTATTGCCAAATTTTGGTCAATCCTCTGATCACTTTGCCTAGTTTTAATAGGATAAAGCTCTTATAGAAGCTCAACTTTACACTACAGTTTAGTCAAAACAAATATAGAGTATTAAAAATGGGTTTGGACAACTTTAACACTGTCCGTAACTTTTTAGAGGTTTTAACCTATTACACGTTGACTTCAACATTTCCCCCAAGTTTCTGCGATCAATAACAAGCACGAGTTCAAGTAATGAGTCATGTTTGCAAATGAGCGCGTGAGTTCACGTTTTATTTTAATGTTTTAATAATTTCAAGGTATTATTTCAAACTTAGAACAAGGGTGTGTGCGTAACGTAGTGCCTCTAGGCTATGAATGCGCCTATGTAAGTGAACGTGTCAAATTACAGCTAAAGCTGTAATTTTCGCAATTTGTCCACGATCAAAGGTGTTTAGTCAAAGTCAGAAATTACCAACATTATTGAGCTTAGCAAGAAGCATACAGGGTAAAGGACCAGAAGCGTTGCACTATCTCCAGCCCTGTGCCACCTCACGTACCGGGCCCAGCTCCGGCTCATCGAGGATTAGGGGGGCGTAGTAGCGCAGTTGTTCGGGTGGACAACCAGAGCCGTAATATACTGCTAAGGAAAATTAATTTGGGTGGGCCAAATGGATATATGGCGGCTTTGGCATGCACTGTCTAGACAACCTGCCAGGCAAACTGCCCTCACTCCAACTCGCTTTCCAAAAGCCAAGAAACTTTGACCCTTGTACACATGACTCACAGCACATGGCATGAGCACACATGACATGGTCCCATCCTCCCTAGGTATTGTGACAACGAGAACAGAAAAAAACGCAAATTGCTGTAAACATTAACTACATGTATTCACCACCATCATCATGTTTGGTATCTGGGATATTGTCTGGTTCGTTGGTAGACCACTTATCTCCAAGCATTTAAAGGAAAATTAACTGCTTAAACAGCAACATTAATTGAGTCTAATTCACTAATTGGGAGCAGATTTGAAGCATTTGAATTCTAATTTCTATTTGGTTGTTTTGCTCTGATTTATATTCCTTTCATTCTGTGTATTTGTCTTGGCATTGCTGCTCTTGTCATATCGGTAACCCAGGTCACCTCTGCAAATGAGAAACTTTCCTCGTCTCCCTTGAGAGTTCCACAACCTGGTTAAACAAAACCAACTTGAAACCCCAAATGCACCCCATAGTTAATCCAGCCGTGCCACCTGTCCTGCACGCACCTTTCGGGGTCCCTGAAGACGAAGCGACGCAGCTTGAGGTCACGGAGCACCAGGCCCCGCTCGTGACAGCGCGCCACCGCCTCCGCCATGTGGCGGAAGAGTCGTGCCGCCTCGGGCTCCGGCAGGCGGCCCCGCTCCCGCACCAGCGCGTGCGCGTCGCTGTGCACGTGCGCGTGCAGCGCGTACGTGCGCCGAGAGCCCACGAGCAGCTCCACGGGCGAGGACACGAGCTCGTGCGGGCACACGCGGCGGTACGCCTCCAGCAGCGTCGGCCAGCGGGCTGCGTCCACCACCTGCACAAGACACAGGCCACGGGGAGTGGCGTCGTCATTGGTGTTATTGTGGACGCGAACACCTCCATCGGCACAATCATCGTCATTATTGTTATGATGATCACGATCATCTCAACAGTTACGATCATCACCATGATTTTTTTACTGGCAAATGAGGTTCCAATGGTGTAAATGCTTACCCCGAGCTCTCATATTCTGATGGTGCATTGTCTTTGAGTTGTGCGCCTTTTGGCGTCATCTGGTCCAACCCATGTGAGACTAGGCTCTAAGGAAAGCTGTCTCGGGTGTGGAACAATCAACTTCAAAGACAGTGCACATTATCAGAGTTGTGTTTTTTGTTTGCATTATGACCGCAGGTATTGTGGTCTATGTAAACATGACTCCTTGTAAAAAAGGTGTCAGTTTTGTTGCCAGATAGAAGGATAAAAAACCAATTATCATCACCATGATTGTTCTTGTTTTCACGATCACCATTTTTGTGATTACCATCAATGCCATCAACATCACCATTACTATCGTCACTATTGTCACTATCACCAGCAATGTCATGATCATCATTTTGATGATAATAATGTCAAGCACATATCAACGAAAGCCTCAATGAGCTTTAAAACTGTTTCAGGAAGGTAGTGAATTGAGGATATATCGATGAGATCTACAAATCCATGCCTCAAAAGCACTTAATTGATCGCTGATGTGCACTATCAATTCTCGCCATCATCATCACTCGTTATATTCATCATCAATAAAACAGTAAGTAGTAAAACATTGCCCCTCTTGGATATTAAACTTGAGACTGAGTGATGTTGCTTTTAAATAAATAAAAACTCTTACTAACTTATTTTCATTTTCACGACCGTTTAAATGATTGTCATCAATAATATCAAATTAAGAACTAGCTAAACAACTCAAGTGAGACTTGAAAATGAGTCTTGAGTGAAGGGTATTTCTGGTTGAAGGATATAACGATCACCCCTCTTCCAAATCATTTTATCGTTTATACCACCAATCGACACAACAAATTATAAACACGCATTCGTGTAAATATATTGTCTAGGCTGAATGATTAGATCCTGACGAAACTCTGCACTCCGCCTACCCAACTACCTACCCCGCTAGCAAATGTCTACCCCCTCTCCTCACAGGGTGAAATGTATGCAAGTGTAATATAATACTATAGTTTATGTTCGAGAAAAACCCGACTACATTGTGGTCGGCTCCGTCGAGTACACGCTCTGCAGTGCAACGCAGACTTTGTTGATTCGCTACAAAAACTGGCCCCGTGTGTTGCCTCGCCCATTCCGTGAGTCGCGTAACCCTGTTGCAATATTGTCTGGGTTAGTGAGGGCGTCAATAGTTTTACATTATCGTGTCCACTTGGACCATCTGAGTCCCATGTTTTCGTATAACCGCAGATATATGAATAAAGTTCCGTACAGTACTGCACTTACGATTATTCTTTCCCATAATTACTTCAATACTAAGAATGCTGCAGGGTTATTTCAGAGAATGAAGCAATATATTTGCAAGGTATAAAAATTCCTACAAAATTTCCAATATTTTTTACTCGAGTTAAAGAGTAACCCAAGACTGGTAATTATTGCTTCCTTAACAGTATAATTCACGTGTACATTTTTTTGTGCCACGGATTTTTTTCGTGGCAAAATATACACGTTCGTCTCAAGAGGAGGAACAACAACACACTGGATCAGATAACATACACAAGTTACAGACGTTACACAAGTCCATGGCTGATAAGAAAATAATTGGGCTTGGGCAGGCAACATTGGCAATAGCCGGTGGTCGATATTAACCGTGGGAGTGGAGCCAAATCAACACGCCCGAAACGACTCCACCCCGCCCACCCCGTCTCAAATACGAAGCGATTAAATCAGCTTGTGTGCAAGAATCAAATGTATTACATCGATTTGCTTTGAAGAAGAGGCATTGGACGAAATGTTGCCTACAGTATTATGTATTTGTTTTCCTGTGTAAGGCAGTGCTATTGACGAATGTGTTTGGAGTGTGTTGTTGTGCGAGATGCTGAGACACCCACTAACAACGCAGCAGCAGCAGCAGCACCAAATAGTTTTAGGCCGACGTGTTGCAGTATTGTTGCATCACGAGGTTGTTGTGAGCTGACAAGAGCTCGGGGGAGATATTCATACAGCAGTGAATACATTAAGGCTGATGATGGTGGTGGTGGCGATTTCATGGAGTGTTTACAACGTGGGTTTTTTTTCAAGTCGTTCAGCACAAAAGTCACCAGGCATCAAAACAGATCGTGTCCATCAAGGGTAAATCATATATTGCTGGTTTCAATAATCAACGTGGAAACTCCCTTACCCGCCCAGCACTGAATCACAAATCATTGTTGCATTGTAAAGGAAGTCAAGAATTGAAGTTGAAAACAACAGGGGATACAATCTATAACCAGATAAAGAGTCAAGTGCATACCATTTTAAATACGTGAAATCAGCTCATGACCTAAATAATTCTTCTATTATCACCAAGATGGGAAATCCACCCGGGCTCAGCACTTGAACTCAGCTTTTCACAGACGTTTTTGATTAAATAAAAACCACCACACAATGCGTGTCCTTTAAAGCTTCCCAGCCACGTCTCAACCCCAGTAGGAATCAGTGGCTCCCCACCACCATCCACGCATCTCTCCTCAAACCCACAACCCACCTGTGCCTCCCCACCACCATCCACGCATCTCTCCTCTCTCAAACCCACAACCCACCTGTAGCTCCCCACCACCATCCACGCATCTCTCCTCTCTCAAACCCACAACCCACCTGTAGCTCCCCACCACCTTCCACGCATCTCTCCTCTCTCAAACCCACAACCCACCTGTGTCTCCCCACCACCACCCACGCATCTCTCCTCTCTCAAACCCACAACCCACCTGTGTCTCCCCAACACCACCCACGCATCTCTTCTCTCTCAAACCCACAACCCACCTGTAGCTCCCCACCACCATCCACGCATCTCTCAAACCCACAACCCACCTGTGTCTCCCCACCACCACCCACGCATCTCTCCTCTCTCAAACCCACAACCCACCTGTGTCTCCCCACCACCATCCACGCATCTCTCAAACCCACAACCCACCTGTGTCTCCCCACCACCACCCACGCATCTCTCCTCTCTCAAACCCACAACCCACCTTGCAGATGAACTCCTTCCCCGTGGCCTCGTGCACCGCTCTGTAGCCTCCCACGTCGAGCGGGGCCACCAGCAGGTACTCGCCCACTCTGGCCGGGCAGTGGCCCCGTGGCTTCACGGCCAAAGCCGGCGGGAGGCCCTCTCGCTCGGGGTGGTGCCGCGGGGTCTGGCCGCAGCTTGTCCGGGCCCTCTTGCCGAGCAGCGAACTCGGCCGGGCCTCCTGGAGACGACGGAGCTCCTCCGTTGGACGAGTCTGAGTCTCTTCCATCGGGGACGGATGGCTCTGAAGGAAATGCGGCGTCGTCTCGACCGGTGCCCGTGTCTATCTGCGCTCCGTGTGATGTCCCTGGCCACCAAAAGAGCCCTCCCCGCCCCCTCTCAACAACAACTTTTGTCAATCTGCGGCTGGGTGGTTTCGCCACGCCAGCGCTCCTACCCTGCCCCCACCCCCCCAATGACCCAACGTGGTGGAGTAATCGTCGAGTTGACCTTCACGACCCCCCGCAGGTCAAACACGGCCCGTGCATCAGCCCGCGACTTTAATTGCGCATTAATTGCGTCCGCAACAGGAGCGAGCTCCAAACTGCTTGGACCAAACGAAGGCACGTGGCATGCACTTACACCGTGTGCCTTGTCTTTTGTATCCTACGTTTAGATTTTCTAAGGCTTCCTTTAAACTTAAACGCCACTCCGAAAGTCGAGGTTTTCTTAATAAGTTAAGCCAGGTGACGTTTGCGAGGAATTGAACTCCGGTTGCACGGCGTTATCCAAGCACAAAAGTCCGAACGATGTTTACCACGAAACCAAGTCTCTTAACTTCGCGACTTAAAAACAACAAACACAATCAGCTGCGACTCCCATCGCCACCACACGCAGCGAGGCTGAGCTGCTGCTGCTGTCTCCTTTGTAGTAACGAGAGCGATGGGAAGGGAGGATCGAGAGATGTGAGCGAGGAGGGAGATGGGGAGGAAGAGGAGAGCGAGGAGGGAGTGTGCGGCATCAGCAGCATCACGCAATCGCCTCTCTCTCTCTCGTTGGCCACATCGTGAAACGCGAGGCGGCGATTGAGTCAGCCCCGTCTCGCCCCCACCCTCGTCCCCCCAACCCACCCCACCCTCTCGCGCCCCCCACCCTCGCCCCCACCCTCTCGCCCCCCCACCCTCGTCCCCCCACCCCACCCCACCCTCTCGCCCCCCCCACCCTCGTCCCCCCACCCCACCCCACCCTCTCGCCCCCCCACCCTCGTCCTCCCCCCACCCTCGCCCCCACCCTCGGCCCCCCCCCGCCCTCTCGCGCCCCCACTCGCCCCCTCCCCCCCTCTCGCGCCCCCACTCGCCCCCTCCCCCCCTCTCGCGCCCCCAACTCGCCCCCCCGCCCTCTCGCGCCCCCCCCGCACCCCCCCCGCACCCCGCCCTCTCGTGCCCCCCCCGCCCACTCGCGCCCCCCCGCCCTAGCGCCCCCCCTCGGGGCGCGCAAAAGGAAAGCAGAACTGGTGCGGCTGTGACGTAAGGAAGGAGGTAAACAGCTGCGTGGACGAGAAGTGACGTAGGATGCTCGCTCGCTCATTCACCCACTCAGACACCCATTCACTCAGACACCCACCCACTCACCCACACACTCACTCACTCAGACACTCACTCAGACACTCACCCACTCACACACTCACTCACTCAGACACCCACTCATTCACTCAGACACCCACTCATTCACTCAGATACTCAGACACTCACTCACTCAGACACTCACTCACTCAGATACCCACTCACTCAGACACCCACTCACACACTCACTCACTCAGACACTCACTCAGACACCCACTCACACACTCACTCACTCAGACACTCACTCAGACACCCACTCACTCAGACACTCACCCACTCACACATTCACTCACTCAGACACCCACTCATTCACTCAGACACCCACTCATTCACTCAGATACTCACTCAGACACTCACTCACTCAGAAACTCACTCAGACACTCACTCAGACAGTCACTCAGACACTCATTCAGACACTCACTCACTCAGACACTCACTCAGACACTCACTCAGACACTCATTCAGACACTCACTCACTCAGACACTTACTCACCCACTCAGATACTCACCCACTCAGACACTCGCTCACCTACTCAGACACTTACTCAGACACTCACTCACTCAGACACTCACTCACTCAGACACTCACTTAGACACTCACTCACTCAGACATTCACTCAGACACTCACTCACTCAGTCACTCACTCAGACACGAATTCAGACACTCACTCACTCAGACACTCACTCACCCACTCAGACACTCACCCACTCAGACACTCACTCAAACACTCACTCAGACACTCACTCACCCACTCAGACACCCACTCAGACACTCATTCACCCAGTCAGACACTCACTCAGACACTCACTCACTCAGACACTCACTCACTCAGACACCCACTCAGACACCCACTCACTCACTCAGACACTCACTCAGACACTCACTCACTCAGACACTCACTCAGACACCCACATACTCAGACACTCACACACTCAGACACTCACTCAGACACCCACTCACTCAGACACTCACTCATTCACTCAGACACCAACTCATTCACTTAGATACTAACTCAGACACTCACTCACTCAGACACTCACTCAGACACTCACTCACTCAGACACTCACTCACTCAGACACTCACTCAGACACCCACTCACTCAGACACTCACCCACGCACACACTCACTCAGACACCCACTCATTCACTCAGACACCCACTCATTCACTCAGATACTCACTCAGACACTCACTCACTCACTCAGACACTCACTCAGACACTCACTCACTCACTCAGACACTCACTCACTCAGACAGTCACTCACTCAGACAGCACTCACTCAGACACTCAGACACTCACTGTCTCACTCAGACACTCACTCACCCACTCAGACACCCACTCAGACACTCAGACACTCACTGTCTCACTCAGACACTCGCTCACTCAGACACTCACTCAGACACACACTGAGATACACTGAGATACTCACTTAGACAAGATCCCCCGTATAGCCTTAACAGACTGTAGGGGCAAGTGCTGTTCGCGAGCACCTATGAAGGCCAGCACGGCACACGAGGGGGTGGGTTGGCCAGCAGCACGCCCGGCCGCCTTTGTCTTCCCAGTGGCGATGCTTACACACCGCCTCAATCTTAAAACGAGGTACTCGTTTTAAGGTTGAGGCGACCTAGGCGAATCCCAGGACCGGTTTGGATAATCGTCACGGGTATCGGCCGTGAGCGTGAATCTTAACTCGGCGGGTTAGTAGCGCAGTGCGCTAATCACTGCGCCACCGCTCCCCACAAGGCACATCAGCCACATGGCCAGCAATCACTTGGCGAGTGTCGTCAGCCGTGGAGGCTGGAACACCTCCAAGGTCATTGTGACTGTGATGCTGAATCCGCGTCCCTTTTATTGAACACAAAGCGCAGTTGAGGCGCGACACTGAACGGCGTAAAATCAGTTCTGTAAACAAGTCAACGCGATACTGTGCAGTTCAACTTTACTGTTGAAACTAGAATCGTAAATGGACATTTACAGGCCGTGTTGTCAAATCACCTGCTGAGTAAGGAGATATCACCGCGCCGTGCGGATCGTGGGGGTTATTTGGCCACACTTTTCCACTCTGTAAGGTGCAGGTCGGTCGAGGTGGAGAAGCAATTTCCCCTGGCACATGCTGCTCACGGCGTATCCCCGAAGCAGCGGATAGCAACGCGTGATGCGTGGTGGTCGCCCATCCAAGCACTATCCAGGCTCATTCAGGATGACTCAGTAAATAAACACATTCCTGCGGAGGGAGCTGGTAGGAACGTTGGGTTGCTCGGTCAATGGCCTGCAGGGTCAACGGCGGCGTGGTGTATTCCGCAAATATGGCCGACTGTGAGGGCGGGCACAAGCCGGCGTGAGTAGGTTAAACGTTGAGTTTTATAAGGGCACCACGGGGTGACCAGCCCCTCCCCTCCCCACCCAGCCCCACCCCTCCCACCCCCCACCCAGACCCTCCCCACCCTCCCCTCTTCACCCAGCCCAGCCCCACCCCTCCCACCCCCCCACCCAGCCCCACCCTCCCCACACAGCCCCTCCCCACCCTCCCCTCCCCACCCAGCCCCTCCCCACCCAGCCCCTCCCCACCCTCCCCTCTCCACCCTGCCCCACCCCTCCCATTTTTGGATGCACGACGGACGGACGGACACAATAATCCCTTGTGGGCTGGTGTAACCAGGGGGTTCCTACCAGTATCAGACTCTGGGCCAACGTTCGTCCAAAGGTTTCCAAACCACCCGTCAAGGTTGACCCAATGTTGGCTTGTTTACTGGGGAGCTTCCGTGATCTGCCGAGATCAGGTTCACTCCGGCTGGTCTGGTGACAGCCGGAGTCTTGGCACTCCTGTACCACCATCACGTTAGACTACAAGATAAACACAACACTCTTCTTCACCCACCATACACACACACGTTCACACGTACTCGTCGTACAATCATACACTCGCACTCATTACGTGATCACAACGTCGGCATGTTCACTGGGGAGCTTCCGTGAAATTGCTGACTCCAGTGGACGAATGTTGTTTTGCAATTGCGCATGCATGGGTCGCCACATGTTGCAATAACGGCGCAATGGTGTGTCGATAATGATGCAATCGATAACCCGAGATAGAATCGCATCAACATCGCCACAGATAACACTGGTCAACAAAAAAAATCATTTTTTTCTGGCCTGAACTTTTGCAGCTGTTTAAGACTCATTTCAGGGTGCTGATTCCAAATCTGATCTCAGATTTGCTCTATCACATCATTTTTATGCTATCGGCATACCCCATTTTCATTGATTTTACCCGAAATTAACTCTGTCACTTATGATTGCAAGTTGTTGCGAGTCAGTGACTGCTTTAGTGTTAAAATATGATGCTGTACTTTAGGATAGTGTGTTTATTATATCATTTTATGTAGATATCCAAATTTATTTAATATCTTTCTTCTGCAGTTTTTATTGAAAATACAATATTTGATATCTCAAAAACCTAAAGTGATAGGCAAAAACTGATGCCAGATTTGGAATCAGCACCTCAAAATTACCTTTAATATACCTTATGCCAGAAAAAGTGTGTTGACCAGTGTAATTATTCAGTTGTAATGTACACGGACAAAGCAGCAATAATCGCCCCCTATTGGCAAGACTAATGCCTTGTTGCTGAGTCACTTTGCGTCGCATAGGGTACAGCTGCCACTGGAGGTGCTCTGCGAATTATTTGAAACGAGATGATGTGAGGCGCTTTGACCTGCTGAGGCATTAAACCCATATAGATGCCTATATAATTATAATATAAACAGCTGTCGTCATACTCTTCTCACAGTCCTGTACGAAGAGCACTAAAAGTAATCATCGTTTAACGTAATAAAAAGCAAAGATAATACGAATTGTGAGGTTTAAACAAACTAATATTCCCATGGATTTAAATAATATTCTGGCGAATAGTTACATTAAGAGCACAAACTAAAACTTTAGAGCATTTCTTGTGTATGTCGCCAACCGTGATAAATTGTAGGTGCCACGCTTTTAAGTGAACCATTCCAGCCTTTTGTATTATCTATTATCTCTTCCGAAGTTCTTCCACCGTTTTAATTCGATTGAACGTGTATTTGTTACACGGAATATCCCGTTTATCCAGCTAGTTGTGTGATATATATACAGTCGTCTGATGTGTACGTATCTTGAACTTCTTTCGCACGGTACGTAGCCAACCGTGCTAATCGGAGGTGCCGGGAAGGACAATATAATAAATATGATATCTTAAAATAATTGTTAGATTTTCCTAATGTTTTCATGATTCAATAAAAAATAAAACACACATTTTTACAATGAAAAATAAGATTTGTATCCGGTATGCTCATGATCCGTCAGCTCCACGTGTTTCCCGCTCAGTAACCGAGCTCGCTGACGCCACGTGGCAGTGGAGCCCTGAGGAGCCCAGCCAGCAGCCAGCCAGGAAACTCGGGGCATAGGTTATTTCGTAAATTATATACTTGGGAATTGGAATACTTTAGAAAACAACAAGAGCAACAATAATCACGATATGAATGTATTTTGAAAAAAGTACAAGACTATTGTGTTGGCTTGTATGTCGGAGTATTGTCATATCGTGGTAACTGTCAGCTGCATCGTATTGGAAGCGATGGTTCGAGATCAGACTGCTATGCATGCACGCACCAGAAGAGGGCATGTCTATTATCGACACAACACATTCCTGCGGAGGGAGCTGGTAGGAACTTTGGGTTGCTCGGTCAATGGCCAGGTCAATGGTCAGGGTGTAGTCCGCAAATATGGCCGACTGTGAGGGCGGGCACAGGCCGGCGTGAGTAGGTTAAACGTTGAATTTTATAAGAGCACCACGGGGTGACCAGCCCCTCCCCACCCAGCCCCACCCAGGCCCTCCCCACCCTCCCCTCCCCACCCAGCCCCACCCCTCCCATTGTTGGATTCACAACGGACGGACGGACACAATAATCCCCTGTTGGCTGGTGTAACCAGGAGGTTCCTACCAGTAAAATGTTCACACTTCTGAGAATTTGCAACAATACCACAATGAATGTGCCTCCGGCTCTGGAGACCACCTGGAGAAGATTCCAGGCACGTGTTGACATTAATGGCGAACAAGTGGAGACTATTTGACCTTTTGAAGCTATTAACATACATTTGTTATCATGTTACTGTGTATTATACGTTTTTTTTTCCTTTAAAAACGAAAGTCCCATGTAAGTGTTAACATTTTTTAAAAAGCACTCTGTATTTCTTGCTGCTGGTGTGTTGCAGCCAAACCATTTTATAAGTGCTTTCCTTTCTATTTTGTCTTGGCAAAGAAATGGAAGACATCCGAAAGGCCGTCGACCGTAGGTACTGGATGGTTTGTGTATTGCAAGATTTTGAGAGGTGGCGGTGGCATTTGGGAGGCCTTAATCCATCAGCGAATTGATCATGGCTGATGAAGGTGGCCTCCACAGATACATTTTCTCAGGTGATGGGGATTGTCAAGGGCTGGGAAGGACGTTAACCTTTCGACTGAGCACCTTTTTGCACAGATGGCTCGCCGTTTCTTAGAAGGCTGCGCACAGTAATCTAGGCACAGCTCGAAGCATGGAATAACCTCGGCTTAGATTACATCTGTAGTGTCTGAAAGTGTGAGGTAGCTATGGAGCTGACATGTTGCTTTTACGCCCATGAATTTACAAAGTTAGTTACTCTTTCACCTTCGCTAAATCGGTGGAAAAACAATTTGGTTGTGCACAATTTTGCACGCACGAATACGCGCCCAGCAGAGGGCATGCAGGGCCACGCATGGGCTCTTCACGATGCCTTTCAGCACAGCAGTTCGTGTATCTCACTGTCAGTGCGCTCTACAGTACATTCCTTGCTGTTTTGTCTCGGCCCTCCATAGTGAACAGGAGTGTGTCTTGGACAGGGAGGTAAGTAGCCGACGTTGTGCAGATGGCAAAAAGACTGCAAGAGGTGGAGAGAATTGAGTTATCACAGCATCACTGCTGAACCAACGACCAACACGACTCAGGCTGATGGTGATGACATGGTTTCAGTTCACAGGTACTGTCAACAATGGCTTTATTAATACACTTGTTTGCCCGGAAAAGCCTGAGTCTTAAGAACACTTTTTCAAGGAGGATCCTGTCAAGGTGTTTGCAGCAGGGGGCGATGTTGCCACGTGTAATACCAATTAAATAATTTTCAAGCCACGTACTGTACTGAAGTTTTTCAACATTGGATGTTTGCCCAATACCAGCTACATTGTATAACAGTATTGTATATATTATTTAACAGCGGTAGTTACGTATGGGCCCCATGCACGTTCTGTTTTGAGAAGTTTCAGTGGGAATATAAGAATGGTAGTGTCGGATTTTGTCACTTCTCAGCTAAAGGCGTTCAGGTTACTTGTGCATCGGTGCAGAGCCGGCCCTAGACCTTTGGGGGCCCTAAGCAAAATTAGTTTGGAGGCCCATTTCTTTTTATTTATTTTATGTTATTTTTGATGTATGATTTTTTTCACCCACTAGCTAGCAGTGACTCTAGGGGGCCCTCTGCTGGCCACGGGGCCCTTTGCAATTGCAAGGGTCGCTTAGTGGCTGGGCCGGCTCTGCATCGGTGGCAGAAGGACTGTGGTTTAAATGTAGACCGTGTTGAGAAATTTGCGAGCTGTCATACTGGAATGAAAGCCCTCTTCTCGAGACAAAAGTCAGAGAATAACTTGAACCACCATTCGTAGTTAGCAACGTGCATATAGTAATACAGGAATTGTGAGTAGGAATGTGGGTTTTTGATGGGCTAAATAAACCACTATGGACAAATAAAGCCACTGCATTCACTCACTTTAGTGTGAAAATGTGTGACGCAGGAGCAACGTTCGTGGCACTCTCAGTCAGGAAGTTAGACGTTTAACAAAGCAACTACGGAATTTATTTGCAGAATTACGAACGCAATTTGGAGGTTCAGGTCTCAAACGTGTCAAGAAAATGTTCCGGATATTTTTCAGGAAGAGGCGGTTCCCATGGGCGTCGGGACACGCTGTACATCATGGTAGAGGGCATGTGGTCCAGACGGGCATTGTTAGCGGAATCCAGAGGTCGGTCACCAAGGAGAGCACCCAACGCCGCATGTGGCACCAGGAGCAGACTATACACAGGTTTAGTGCCATCTGTGTAACAACTACGGGAAACGATGGCGTGGTGTGCAGGAGAAGATGCTAACCCTCGTCTTGGCTTTGTCGATGTCAGCTGTTATGGTGGTCTCACTGCAGAGCTGTTTTATACAAGAGCACTAGCACAATCTATTGCAGTAGCGTTGCAGGGCCCTATTGCAATGCTCCGTATTAATTATGACACGAGTGGGGAATTGCCATGGCTCAAAGGTGCCTGACTATTAATACACAGACAGCCCCATTTTCACACTTAATCACTCGGCAATCACCCCCTTCTCCATAGCACATAAATTAAATTGTGCTATGAACAAGGGCCATTGCCCGAAACGTCGCCTAATATATGTGTTCCATTTAAGACCGAAGTGTTATTGACAAAGCTGTTTAAGTTGTCGCTAATTGTGCACCACTATCAACGTAGCTGGCATCACTAAATTGTTTCAATTCACGAAAAGTGGTTTTATTTAAAACGAGCTTTACTACCCGGCCTCGTCTGGGAATCAAAATAAAATAAAGCGAAATTCAAGAGGTGGTGGAGGGGGGTGGAGGGGGCGGGGGGTGGAGGGGGGGGAGGAAGGGGCGAGGAGGGAGCGGGGGGTGGAGGGGGGGAGGAGGGGGGTGGAGGAGGGGGTGCAGGAGGGGGGGTGGAGGAGGGGGGGAGGGGAGGTGGAGGGGGGGTGGAGGAGGGGAGGAGGGGGGGGGGTGGAGGAGGGGGGTGGAGGAGGGGGGTGGAGGGGGGTGGAGGAGGAGGGGTTGAGGAGGAGGGGTGGAGGGGGGGAGGAGGGGGGTGGAGGAGGGGGGGAGGGGGTGTAGGAGGGGGGGTGGAGGAGGGGGGGAGGAGGGGGTGGAGGAGGGGGGGGAGGAGGGGGGTGGAGGAGGGGGTGGAGGGGGGTGGAGGAGGAGGGGTTGAGGAGGAGGGGTGGAGGGGGGGAGGAGAGGGGTGGAGGAGGGGGGGAGGGGGTGTAGGAGGGGGGGTGGAGGAGGGGGGGAGGAGGGGGTGGAGGAGGGGTGGGGGGTGGAGGGGGGGTGGAGGAGGAGGGGTGGAGGGGGGTGGAGGAGGGGGGGGTGTAGGAGGGGGGTGGAGGAGGGGGTTGGAGGAGGGGGGTGGAGGAGGGGGGGAGGAGGGGGTGGAGGGGGGTTAGAGGGGGGTGGAGGGGGGGGAGGAGGGGGGGTGGAGGGGGGGTGGAGGAGGGGGGGAGGGGGGTGGAGGGGGGTGGAGGAGGGGGAATGGAGGAGGGGGGGTGGAGGAGGGGGGTGGAGGAGGGGGGAGGAGGAGGGGGGGGAGGAGGAGGGGGGGGAGGAGGAGGGGGGGAGGAGGAGGGGGGGGAGGAGGGGTGGAGGAGGAGGAGGGAGGGGGGGGAGTGGAGGAGGGGGGAGGAGGGGGGGTGGAGGAGGAGGGTGGAGGGGGTGGAGGAGGGGGCAGGAGGGGGGGAGGAGGAGGGGGGAGGAGGGGGGGGAGGAGGAGGGGGGGAGGAGGGGTGGAGGAGGAGGGAGGAGGAGGGGGAGGGGGGGAGGAGGAGGGGGGAGGAGGAGGGGGAGGAGGAGGGGGAGGAGGGGGAGGAGGAGGGGGGGCGTATCCGCCGCTGATGACGACGGCAAAGATAACGGGAAGAGGAGAGGAAGAGGCGGACACGTGACAGAGACTCCCCGGGGCTGGGCAGAGAAACGGAGAAGTTGGTCCACTACTCCCACGTGTGAATTGAGCAATTACGGCCGTGATAGAGTGAGAGAGAGAGAGAGAAAGTCAATTACAAAGCTCCAAACCTCGCGTCTCTTTATCGATTTATTTAGGCGGCAAGAAGGAGGAGGGGGACCATGCTTCGTTGCGTCTGCTGACGAACCCCGAGCCCGTTCAGAAGAGCGGGAAGACCGACCGGGAGGCCCGGACTCGCTCTCCCCTCCCCTGCCGGGTGAGTTGAGTCGTCGCCGGTAGGGGCGCTAGGCAAGGCCGTGGCTTCCCGCGGGCGGTGTTGGGCCTTGGTATGGGAGCGAGTGGTTTGAGTTAACGGGATATTATTATTATTGTGATTATTATTACTGTTAGTCGCGGTGTGTTTAACGGACTATGTCATGGCTCTTACTTTGTTAATATTATAGACAGGAACAAATGTTGGTGAAAGGTTTGAGTGTAAAGTTGGTGAACTAAACCGGCTAACAGAGCCCCCCTTTTCACGGGGGTGGTGAACTCCAAGCGGGTTTTAGTGTCACCGATTTGACGACACCATAACAAACCCAGCTTAACTGCCTTGTTTTGAAAAAGAAAGTTATAAACTACGAGGTGAAACTCACCTTGAAGCAGATGGGTTTGTTCTTGAACGTTCCTGTAAAAAAATCAGATTGACCTAATCGATAAATGTTGTCGATAACGCAATCGATGCGGCTCCCTCGCCCCAAATTTCACGAAGGACTAAATCCCGAGGTAACGTCCCGATTTAAACAAGACTATGCACCTATCATATACATACTGCGTGCGGAACGATTTACATTACTTTTTTACCCCCTTCATAAGGAAGTAATTGATCCGTGATAATTGTTTTTTTACCCTTCTATCTGGCAACAAAACTGACACATTTTTTACAAGGAATCATGTTTGCATAGACCACAATACCTGCAGCCATAATGCAAAAACATAACTCTGATAATATATGCACTGTCCTTGAAGTTGATTGGTCCACCCGAGACAACTTTTCTTAGAGCCTAGTCTCACATGGTGTTGGACCAGATGACGCCAAAAGGCGCACAACTCAAAGACAATGCACCATCAGAGTATGAGAGCTCGGGGTAAGCATTTACACCATTGGAACCTCATTTGCCAGTAAAAATATGATAATTGTTTTTTTACCCTTCTATCTGGCAACAAAACTGAACCTTTTTTACAAGGAGTCATGTTTACATAGACCACAATACCTGCAGTCATAATGCAAACAAAAACACAACTCTGATAATGTATGCACTGTCCTTGAAGTTTATTGGTCCACACCCGAGACAGCTTTCCTTAGAGCCTAGTCTCACATGGTGTTGGACCAGATGACGCCAAAAGGCGCACAACTCAAAGACAATGCACCATCAGAGTATAAGAGCTCGGGGTAAGCATTTACACCATTGGAACTTATGGAACCATTTTTACTGGCAAATGAGGTTCCAATGGTGTAATTGATCCTTTTGAAACGTTTTAGTCAAATCGAATGGAGATTAACTTGGTTACGACAACTTAGTTCCGTTTCAGTAAAACTAAATCGGTTTAATGCCACCGATTAGATTCAACCTGTCGTATTGAAAACACGTGAACACAATTCGTTTCCCAACCCTCAGTGTGTCACCAGCCGTGATCTATACACCGTTGGATGAATGCCACCCCAAATCAATCATTCCACACCTCACGGTATTTCGATGTTAACAATCGATCATCCAGCGCACCCGAGATCAATTTAATGGTTCCATCACAACCGTAGACGTCGTTCCCTCCTTTGACTCCCACTCCTTCATTTAGTCTCGACAGCCTTGGTCATCATCATCATCATTATCCCTCTATCCAATAATCACTTAGGTTTCATAACAGTGTAAACGATGTCGTTATAACTTGCCTACATTCTTGAATCCATTTGTTCCTCTCCCTGTCCCGGTGTATTTTCAAAGCACGCTACTCTCTCTCCACACTCAAATGCCCTTCGTTTTTCTTACTTGACCTTATGTCACAGTAAGGTACAGTAGTTGGGACACTTTTGAGCTACTTGCTTCTTTTAGGCACATTGTATTACACACAATTGCAAACCTGTCAACCCCTTATCAGCGCCTACCTGATTACAGACCAATTCAGACCTTATTGGTCACCACATGCCCTTATAAATCTCAACGTCCAACCTACAAGGTTCCATCACAAGGGAGAAACACAAAAACCACGTTCTTTTAGCGCAATTTCCCTGTAGTACAAGAATACGGGTAAAACCTTATGGGTTGACAGCGATGACATTATTTAATCCATTTGTTCCTCTTTGTCTCGATGTATTTTCAAAGCACGCTAACTCTCCCCACGCACAAATATCCTCAGTTATTTTTTTCTGGACCTTATGTCATAGTAAGGTGGTGAACACTTTTGAACGACTTGCTTCTTTTAGGCACATTGGTATGTTGCATCGTATTACACCCAAATTGGTTGCACGACAGCGGAGCGTAAATGCTCACATTGCTCGGCGCTTAAATATCTCGCTCGGTGTGATTAATCAAATCCCTGGACTGTAACGCGATCCTGCCGTGCTGTGTGCAATGTGCTGACCAGCATACGGCACAGCCTATGAGTATTGTTGCCTTTTCCACTGCTGGTTTATATTGTACTGTGTATAGAAATGTACTGTTTAACGCACACATTCGGGCATAACCACGGACATTGTTTGAAGTTGACCTTTCGTTAAGTGACTGCAAGTGTTTGTGCAATTGTGTGTGGGGAGTGGTGGCGCAGGGGTTAGTGTGCTGCGCTACGAACCTGGCGACCCAAGTTCGATTCCTTCTCACGGCCAACACCAGTGACGAGTATCTGAACTGGTCCTGGGCCTCCCCTAGGTCGACTCAGCCTCCAATGGGTACCTGGTGCGGTGTGTAAACATTGCCACCGGGGAGACAAAGGCGGCCCGGCGTGGTGCTGGCCACCCATCCCCTGGTGTGCCGTGCCGGCCTTAATAGGTGCTCGCTAACAGCACTTTCCCCAACAGTCCGTTCAGGCTATACGGGGGATCTTTGTCTTTGTGGAGAGGGTTGTGAATGGGGCGGGGGGGGGTTGCTTTTAACATAGCGCAGGTCACACATGCCAACGTTGCCGCACATCGCTTATGCGGTAGCATGAAAGGCGACGCTTCAAAAACACCAATGTCATTACATGGAGTGATTCTTAGCCGTATAGTGGGTCCCCTTTCTCTCGGGGAGGTTTGAGGGCCAGCATTTTGAGTGACTTCACACCCAGCCCGTGTACCCCCCCCCTCCCCCTCCTTGAGAGTTGGTGAGGTTTCTACGTTGAGTTGTGCTGCGGGCAAAGTCCAAAGAATAGTGGTGCCTCCTTAAGGTTATGGGGCATGTGATAATGCAGTCATAAAGCCGGTACAGTACTGTACTTTCCCCGCTGCTGATGCTGCTGTTGTTGAAACGCTAGAGTGAATCACACACGCCATATGGCTGCTCGAGCAACTGTGGCGAGGGCTTTTTTTGGGGCTCCCAGAGGGAAACATCAATGTGGACCTCTCCGTGGTCACTTTTAAATTTGGAGCATCATCACAGAAGGGTCCATCCAGGCTGTAGCTGCCCGTGATCGACACTTAAGACTGCCCTCTCTTGTGCCCCTTATTAATCTTGAAATGCACTCTGTAGTATAATGTTTTAAAAATATATAGTACTACACTTCATGAATCCACAGATCGGTGAAAGGCCTCCCCATAACATCCTGGTGAAGGGTCGGGAGGGGACCCAGAACTGGTTCAGATACGATTTGCCACTGGTTTTAACCATGGCTGGAAATCATACTCAGGTTGATCGGTTAGGAACAAAGTGCGCAAACCACTGTGACCCTTGAGAGCCAGGTTTACTAGTGTATATGTCAAAGGGAAAGATTAGGAAACTATTCGGCCAATAATGCCTTTCAAGGTCAGTATGTTCTGCTTCCAGGTGTACACCACAAGAGACCACCAATGGGGTTTTTGCTGTGAGCAATCATCATAAAGCAAGCCACTGTTGGTTATACAAATGCCATAGCATGTGGCGATGTCTGGATGCCACAGGCAAGACGCAACATGAACTCTGCAGCCCACATTGGTAAGAAACAGGTTATAGGAAGAGTGCAGCAGCTATTTACAAATATTGTACACATTAATGCCAACCCAACCATAATATAAACCCACATTAGACTACGTTTAGGTGATGTAGAGGTACATGTATAGCTCTTTTGGCGATCCACTTCTAAATGAGGGCCTTCCTATGCTGTCCGGGTCGTGGGGGTTCTGACCAAACTTTCACCCTGTTGGTGAAGGCCTGGGGGTATAATGTGTTGGCATAGCGGTACAGCACATTGAATATTTCTGCACTCCCCGTTGCTGCCCACAATGTAGCCCCAGAGCCTATTGCACTTGCTATGCATGGTGGTTGCCCATCCAAGCACGATCAAGGCTCAGATCTGCTTAGTTTCCACGAATTGATGAGATCGGGGCTTTTCAGGTAATTTTGGTCATAGAATTACATTAATCATTGCAGTTTAATGCTACAGGGTCAGCCCTTAGCTGGACTCTTTCAGGAAAACCCTTTACATGAGCGATTATAACCAACTGCTGATCGTATTGCTATTATTAACATCAGCATCAACCAGAGGGCTGGCAGGTTATTTCCATTGATCCCCCATTCGTGCGGATGCAAAGATTGTTTAATTGATAATGTTTCTTGGTAACCTGTTGGCAAGTTTTGTGGTTGACTGCTACAATGCTAAGCTATTTTAGTCGTGCAATATACAGTGCTTTTAGCTTACCCAACAGCATTGTCAGTGCTGTTTATTTTATATCACCCAGTCATTATCACTTAATGGTAATTATTATATTACTTGTTGAACATTCTTGGGTAAAGTTCCCTCGGCTGCCATTTCATTGTTAGTCATGTACACTGGATATTATACTTCCAAGTGACTGCTGCCAAAACCCACTTGATTTTTTCGTGTAAATTTGATGTCTGTAATATACGTATTTTGTTTAATACACGTATTCTCTTTTGGTCTCAATTTAATCATACACATTTTTTCCTCCTTGCTTCTTTTTGCACACTTTTGGGCTTATATTCCATCAACTCAATGTCCAAGTTCAGGTCCATTTATCACGGCATGTAATAATACTGTACCTTGATTAAAAACAGTTCTTTAGATCGCTTGCTTTTCACTATTAATGTCAGTTTTCCAAATGAAATCTGGCCTGTTGGCTTAGCAGGAGAATGAGTGGATTTCAGTCTGAAGGTTTCGAGTTCAAATCCTGGTTGGGGGTTGATTCGGCCCATCATCCCTCCGGGGTCGATAAAATGAGTGCCATTTTGCTGGGAAGTCAAGAGTGGTTGTCCTATTCTTAGGTTTTTTCGGTAAAGTCACGTAGGTAAAACATCTAAATTAATAAAAATAAAATAAAACAAAAATCACGACGTTTCGGAGGCAACACAAGTGGTTGTCCTATATCTAGACTTGCCCCCTGCCATAAAATGTGGAATTTCCATCACTGGCTCAGGTTTGTGAAAAGGACATCAACACCGTCTCAAGGGTCATTGAGCAGGAAATCACTAACCTTTGAATATTGCCTATATATCATGTTTAGCATCTAAAACTTTAATGATGTTAAACGTTTTACAGTGGATGGCTCCTTGTCGACTTGGTGGAAAGCGGGACAATGAGTGGAGTAGTGGGACTTAGCGAAAATCTTTAAGAATGACCATTTATAATTTGCCTCAGGAAAGGTGGTCGCATTGAGATGGTACATATTTAAAAGTATGACTGTTTTATACATTTATTTGTGACCATCCAGAGGTTGTAATGTAATTACTGTAAATTCAATAATTTATTTTTTTCTTCTTTTTAATTTTTGTTTTGTGGGAGTTTTCTTGACCATTCTTCATGGTGGTCAGTGTGGATTGGTGAAGATGGGAATCCAGGAATTATTTAGGTACCACTCGCCACTGATGTTAGCTGTGACTGTAAATTGAACTTGGGTCGCCGGTTTCATAGGGCAGTGTGCTTGCCCACTGCACCACTGCTCTACCGCTAACGTCACAGCATATTATCATCATCATCATCAGACATTATAAATCCACTGCTGGATGAAGGCCTTCCCAACCCACCACCATATATTGCGATCCTGTGATGGAATAATCCACTGATCACCTGCACGCGAGCTATTTCCATTGCCCCATGTCCTTGGCGGACATCCTCTCAAATGTATTCCATTCGCTGGCTGCCACTCATTCATTCTTGACCATCGGCCATCATCCCTTCTAGCACCATGTACTGCCCAAGCCAACTCACATTTATTAACAGTTTCATATTCTTAGGTTTTTTCGGTAAAGTCACGTAGGTAAAAAATTTAAATTGATAAAAGTAAAAAAAACAGTTTCAATCATCTTTAAAACATGCGTATGACCTCTAATCCAAATGTTTCTCGTTATGTCTCTCAACGTTCTTCCAAGTATGCTTCTTTGTGCACTTTTTATTTTTCGTTCCATTTTTTGTGTGGTTATGACCATGTTTCTGAACCATATGTGTCATAGGACATTGTACGCCCTGAATACAAACTTTCTTCATTCAGGACGTTGGTATGTTACTTTTAATTTTCAAATTCAGCTTTCCAACAAGCACTAAAACCTGCACTCTGTACGCCTTATTATTTCATCATCACTATATACCATGCCAAGGTGATTATTATTATTATTAGATTTTTATAGTTCTCAATTCCAGTAACATTTTATTGCTGTAGGATTTTGCATAAGCCTTACCAGATGTCTCACTGGCTGAATGGAGATATATTAAATATACTGTAATCAGCTTCATTATTGGATGATTTAAATTGATTTTAATATGTCTATATACTGTATTTGTAGACACTTTGTACTCTGCCCTTGGACCTATTTTTGGAAAAGGATATACAGAGGGTGGAGGTACTGAAACCAGATGCAATTCTTCTTGCGTTGAGTAATGGGAAGCGGGAATTGAAAGTGTGTGGCTGCTCCTGCACTTTGGGTTAAGGTAGTTGGGGTTAATTTTGCATCAATTTCCAGTAAAGTCTCTGTTAAATTGTAGTTCTCAGATCACTCCTATGTTGGATTTCCAATTATCAACCTAAAAAATGCACTTCCATCTTAGGTTACATTTGTGTGTGTGTGTGTTGAGCTTATTTCCCACCGTACGAAGCCAACCATGCTAATCGGTGTACAACATTTGTTGTACTTAAAATACTTCCTCTACAGTATATTGCAAAGCAAATAAAAGCAATGTTACATGCTCAGAACCTAAAACAGCCACAGCATCCTGTATGAAGCTCTGGGGAAATGCATGTGTTTTTACATTACTTTGTCATATTTTCTGAAGACACGTGGTTAAATGTACATTTGATTAATTTCATTATGTGGAGTGCCAAGGCAGTTTCCATGAGGGGATGTTATAAGGTGTTTTACAATGCATTGATTAATCTATTAAAATGTATTATTACATTAACAATACATGCAATAAATCAGATATGTAAAAATATTTTTTTTCATTCAAGTATGCTGAATGAAATTGGTTTCCATCGCCCCCGCAGCCACACCAGAGACACTACAATTGTAGATTGCCACTTATTTTCTTGGGTGCGCTGCCTCATCTATTTTGATTAGGGTGGTTCCACTAGACAAAGTAATGGTTTTGTTGACAAATACTCCTACCTCCGCCCACACGCAATAAAACAAATAACTGAGCCAAATTGCTCGAAGCAATGTGTAATTTTTATTCAAAATATAACTCGAAGATGCATGTTTATACCAAACAGTGCGAGTGTGAGTTGGTGTAAAACGTTAAATTATAGACCGGTAACAGCCCATTGTGCCTGTATTGTGTTGAAATAAAAGTAGAGTTTGATTGCGAGAAAAGCTAATTCATTAACGTGGCGGTGCTGTTACCGGGATCGCTGCGAAAATATATTTTTACAATAAAACTCAAGTTTCCTGCAGGGTGATATTTTTTAATTGTATAAAAAAATAACGTCCCCGCTGGGGCTGGAAGAGGGCAGCCACATGAGCCCTGTGCAAGGAGGAAGTGTGGCCACACCGCATCTGCCCTTATAAGGGCCGATCGCCCCTCTCAGGGAAGCCCCAGTGGCTGATGGGAAATGTGGTGAGAACCATGCGTGTGTGTCGCCTGATTTCCCCCTTTTTGCCGTTGCACGACGGTGTTGCGATAAAACTCGTCACCTCTTGGCGAAAAGGTAGCTTGGTGTAGCGTGGATGGACGGTGGCTGTATGCTGCGTTTAAATTAAAATTGTGCCAGTCCGATGGCTGAATAATTTGTGACGTGCACGCCAATGTCGGGCACTGTGCTGTGGTCGGTTGGTGGCATATGAGGAAGCTTGTGAATGTTGCTTTTGCCTATACTATCTACATTGCCATGATGAAATGCCATTTTATTTAATGTGTGTTCTATAATGAGAACCAATATGGAAGATGTCTCAATCTTACCACAAGAGTGTGCTCATTTGGGGGACTATGGGTACCGGGCAAAGTGAGAAAGTTGGTTGGTGTTGCTAAATTTTTTTGCTCTTTCATTCCCAGGTTATCCGAGTGCTCATTGAGCAAATTGTTCAAGTCGAATGAGCCCGAAGCGTTGAACAGGACCTCCACAGTTTTAAGCATTCGGGTAAGCTCACTTTATCAGATCTGAACCACTTATCATGAACAGGGTGAATTCCATGTGAGTGTTGTCATCTTAGTATGTAATTTGAAATTAAATCTTGAATTACAGATTTTTTTTTGTTCAACCAAATGCTGAACGAGGGCCTCCCCTTTCATTCAGCCTTGGTGCTTGTTTGGCCATACTTAACGATGCAGGGCTTCTGGGGGTTTGTGAAGGGCAGTGCCGAGGACCATTTCATATATCACTCGCCACAGATGTTAGCCATGGCCAGGAATCAAACTCAGGTGGTTGATTTTATTGTCCTGTGCTCTTACCACTGTGCTACCACTCCACCCCGTTCCAGTACGAATGCTTTAATCTGCTTTCAAACGTGATGCCATCATTTGCAATGCTGGAGAGTATTAATAACCAAACTGATACCTTGCCATTGGGTAAGGTTAAATGTAACTTTATCTGTTCAAAAGTAGACGCTATTGATTGTTTTCACACAGATTGGGGATATTGTACTGATGTGATGGTGGCGTTTAGTTTAGGGCAGGATAACATTTTTACACAATGTAATTATCATTTGTTTTAGGCTTTCATTTCCTTGAATGTAAAAGTCTTGGCAAGAGTTTGTGTTGAAACCGGAACTTCTGTTTGGGAAGTGCTTAGAAGGAAGTGACGTGGCTTTGACCATCAGATTCTAGTCTTGGGGGTGTCTAGGAGCAGCTTCGCCTCTTGTTTGCCATGTCGATGTACAGTGTAGCATTGTGTCGAGGCCACCGTGAGCAGTGGCACAGCGGGATAGCACACTGCATTTTCATATTCTTAGGTTTTTTCGGTAAAGTCACGTAGGTAAAAAATTAAAGTTAATAAAAGTAAAATAAAAAATCACAACGTTTCGGAGGCAACGCAAGCTTCCGTCTTCTGTGTTGCCTCCGAAACGTCGTGATTTTTATTTTATTTTACTTTTATTAATTTTAATTTTTTACCTACGTGACTTTACCGAAAAAACCTAAGAATATGAATCCTTGCAGTCACGAAAGCTTCAAATCTAGAAGCACACTGCATTGTGAACCCGGCAACTCGAGTTTGGTCCCCAGACATAGCTAATTATTCAAATGGGATCTTTAAAATGGGACGTTTTTTTGCAAGTATTAAAGTATGAAAAAATCAGAATAGGTTTTATGGCCAGAAATGGAAAAACCTGTTATAATTTTTTCATGGTGATTTGTATTTTTATTCACCATTGTTTATCATGACAGCTTTCACTTGCAGAGATAACCGATGCTACGCTGGGCTCTCAGCTGTGTTTAAGTAAAGGGAATGAACAAAAAAAGGCTCGCTTTGTTGTAATTAATTATCCGACATCGATGTTGCCTTCATCAACGCGCTGACCAGCATGGTGAAGTTTTGTCAATCAACTCCCATGGTTGACATGGCCTGGAGAGATCTTTGTCCAGCAGAGGATTTTACAAAGGGCTGTAAATTGTTGTTTACAGTCGTCTGTAAAGTTATAGCCAATATGAATATGTTGCTTGTTGTTTGCTAGGCAGCTCATGGTTTTTTAATTAGTGCCACTTCGCTCATCAAATAAAAATACCGCATTATGTACTCTAATGGTAACGCTTTGTCAAGATAGTCATGTGGCTAATGGGGCTCAAAATGGTCTTGTGTGAGCTTTGAGGCCACACCGCAGAAATCCGAGGTATGAATCCTGGTGTAGCAAGTTGATGGTTTCGACCAGGTTACCAATGACAGCACAAAAGAAAATAATTCAGTAGAATAGTGTTTTTCATTTGACAGGTAATGCATGTTTTGCAAAGTCTTCAGTAAAAACGGCGAGAGATGAAGCGCTGGCTGGTGTCTGTGTGAGAGAAATTCATTGAGGAGTCACCAGGCATTATTCATCTATGGTTGTTTCCTTTGTGAAGATTTAGTTCTGCTGCCATAAGTCTGGAATGCATTCATGCCTTGGCCTCGCGAACTGACTCCAGTGGGGCAATTGTCACGTACCACAAATATGAAATGAAACAAATACGACGATTTGACCAAATGACTTCAGTAAGAATTCATACGTAGATAAGGGTATTCGAATGAGTAATGTGATCGGGCTTGCAGGGAACATGAACCCTGTACATCTGAATAAATGTCTTAAATAATATGACTCCTTTTGGTATTTGTGACATTCTCATCGCACAAGGTTCTCTGGCAGCAGGGTGACGCAGTAGTAACAGTTGTGCTTCACAAGCGACTCTGGGTTCAATTCCTAATTCTGGGCTCTTTCTGCGTGGAGTTTGTATGTTCTCCCCTCTGTTCTGCATGGGTTTCCTGTTTTATGGTTCTTCCCCTAGCTATAAAAGCATACCGTGTAACTGGTATTGGCTAAAACATCCCAATACTGTAAAAATTACCTGAAAACTACTCAATTAGGATCACACATCACAACATTGAGCTCGATGGCAAAAACTGACAGTACTTTGCTAAAAAGAGTCTCTTACTGGGTGAACAAGCATAAATATAACAATTAAATAAAAAACATAGCCGCTTTGTTTCACAGATGGGTATTTGTGGGTAGCATACACTACTGTTCATGATCTTCCTGCTGATCTTCATGCTATACAATAAAATTTCATTTGAGCATTAATATGATAACACAGAATACTACAATGTCGTGGTTTGGTAGCTGTAACACGGTCATTCGTGTTCATTGCATTTGAGCATTAATATGATAACACAATACTACGATGTCGTGGTTTGGTAGCTGTAACACGGTCATTCGTGTTCATTGCATTTGAGCATTAATATGATAACACAATACTACGATGTTGTGGTTTGGTAGCTGTAACACGGTCATTCGTGTTCATTGCGTGTACTTCAAGGTTGACTTGGTTGAAAGCTTTGAAAAGCGCAGCTCAAGCATTACATAATTTCTTTCCGTTTGCCCTTTGCAGGTGATCGCAATATGGGCAACTTACTGAAAGTGCTGACGTGCACTGACCTGGAACAGGGACCAAACTTCTTCCTAGACTTTGAAAGTAAGCCATGGAGCCACCCGTCAATTAGCGTAGTGCATCATTTGTTTCATTAAGACTTGAGTTCAGTTAAATGTCATGAAACCCCTCTCCCCCGATTGTAAAGATTTGATAAATACTTGGCTTACTTCACCATTAAGGTATGAATGTAGTTACAGTAAAAAGGCAAAGGTGCAGCCCTGCAATGTCCTTTCTGACATCACTGCTTGCAGAAGGGCCTGAGCTGGATGAGCTCCAGAGTACCTCCCTCTCGAGTGTAATTGGCCTAATCTTCCATTCATCGGTGGACAGAAGCGCGTGGGGTTTAAGAAACTTGGCCTTAGTTTCAACGAATGCAACCGGAGATGAAACTGGCCGCCTCTGGATTGCAAGTCCAGGGTGCTAACCGTTACACCACAACAGCATCCCCTGGTTAGAGTAACGCGGGTTTCACGTTGCAGTCGTGAATATGCTTCGTAGCTACCGTTCAATGCATTTGGCATTGATTAGCAAAAAATGGAGCTCAGCCCAAATTCCACATATCCATACAAAATGAGTCATGGCGCCCTGAACAGGGGAAACTTGAGCTGACTCAAATGTTCTCTGCATCCTGATGGTTACATTATAATTTAATGAAAACATTTCGATTTCATTTACCGCCTCGACTCGCCATGGATTTCCCCAAGCCGGTTTGCAACAGGACAAGTGATAAAGTTTGTGGTAATTCGTGAGTGCTGACTGATGTAAAAAAAAGGGGGAAGATATAATTTTTTTATTTTATTTACTCATTGATGATTAATAAATAGATGTTATTAGAATGCATTAAACGTTCTGTTTCTTACTGCAAAGTGTTGGTGGAGTGTGGTCTGATGTGAATTCAACTTCTAAAATAAAAAAGTGACCATGTAGATCCATAAGAGAATGGGAATTGCCTCTATGCTTGGTTGCTAAAAGCAAATGTTTATCTGGCTGTCCCTCACGGATCTCAATGCTTGTGTCAAAAATACTTTTTTACGTGTTTTAGAAGATGCTGTTGTTGATGCTGCTGATGACCATCAATGGCTAATAATGATTAAATCCTCATTAGCATCATCGTCAAGAATTCGTCATTTCCACTTTGTCATACTGATTATCATCACTGGGACTCCTTGAAGGGCCTGAACCCACCCCCACGCCGAGGATGCCCTGGGACCTGTAGGTGCTGCCCTGGCTGCCTCAGCTACCCCTGAGGCTCATTGTTGTTGTTGTTCGTGCTGGGACCCTCTTATGCCATCCCAGGATATGGCAGGGTGTTGCTCTCTCTCTCTCTCTGCTGTCTCCCATGGTAACCTGATATTCACCTCGAATGTAGTCTCATCATATTTTTCTAGTATCGTTAGATGTAATTGCATTTAAACGCTCTTATCAATTAAAGTTGTTGATGAGGATGCTGCTGCTGCTGCCGCTGCCCAGATGCACAGCCGACTGACAATGAGCAGCAGACGTGGATGTCGGTGGGGTCGGTGCTGCAGGGCACACGGAGCGTGCTGTCTGAGCTGCAGGAGTACTGCGGCGCTGGCAACGAGATACGAGAGGTGCACACAAAGACACATATCCTCTCACGCGTAGCGCCTCTGAAGGCCGGCACGGCACACGAGGGGGTGGGAGGCCAATACCCACGCCTGGCCGCCTTTATCTCCCTAGTGTCGATGTTTACACTCCACACCAGGTACTCATTTGAGGATAAGTCGACCTAGGGGAGGCCCAGGACCGGTCACTGGTGTTGGCCATGAGTGGGAATTGATCTCGGGTTGCCGGGTTCCTAGTGCAGCATGCTCATCGCTGCACTACCACTCCTGAGAGGTGCACACACAGATAAAGTTCCCCTGTGTAGCCTACAGAGATTTTAGTGGCAAAGGCTGGTAGCCATGAAGGTCTTCAACATGCCCGGCCACTTTTGTCTCCCCAGTGCTAATGTTTACACACCCCACCAAGCATTTTATTCAGGCTGAATCTACCAGTTCAGAAATCACTTGTCGCTGATATTAATGACGGGAATTGATCACATTCTTCGCCTGAGGACGGCTGCTTGCGTTGTGGCCGAAACGTCGTGAGAATTGTTTTATTATGTTTTATTTTTATTATTTTATTACTTCCCTTCTACGTGACTTTACTGAAAGAACCAAGAAGATGAATCCCTGCAGTCACGAAAGCTTTAAATCGAAATTGATCACAGGTTAAGTGGGTTTGTCGTGCAGTGCACTAACCACCATGCCACTACTCCCCAGATGTACACTCGCACACACCACATTTCCTCAAGCGCCATATCCTAAACATGGTGGTCCGACACCTTTTGCTTTCTTGACCACCTCTATGAAAATAACATAATCACTCTCTGTTTCTTTAACATAACCATAATAATAATGTCCTTTCTGGTAAGTCTTTGGTTAACGTGTGTTTACACAACGTTTTTTCGCTACAACGCGGTTCTTCCATGAGGAAACACTTTTTGCACAATGCGAAACCTGCGCCATTATAACAAGGTAACGCGCACCGCTATGATTCGGTTTCTGAGTGGTCACCGACAAACTACTTGAGCTGCACGTGGGAGCAGTATGATACAGTATGCGGAATGATACAGCAACAGCGCGGCGTACCCCGAGTTATTATCCGTCATCTTTCTGTGTGTGTCTACACCGTATCTCGCCAACTTTTATCGTTACATTATTTATGGGGAAATAGTTTTTGCTTAACACGTGTTTTGCTTAACGTAGCACTTTTCAGGAACGCATCTACAGAGGACTTACTTGATTTACCCAAGAGATCCCCACTGAATCTCAAGACTGATGATTGGTTAATTTTATTTATGAGTTAAATTTCGATTTAAAGCTTTCGTGACTGCAGGGATTCATCTTCTTGGTTCTTTCGGTAAAGTCACGTAGAAGGGAAGTAATAAAATAATAAAAATAAAACATAATAAAATTATTCTCACGACGTTTCGGCCACAACGCAAGCAGCCGTCCTCTTCACCTGAGGACGGCTGCGAAACGTCGTGAGAATTATTTTATTATGTTTTATTTTTATTATTTTATTACTTCCCTTCTACATGACTTTACCGAAAGAACCAAGAAGATTATTTATGAGTGTTTGCCTTCATGTACAAGGAACTTGGGGTACCTTTGAAAAAACCCACACGCTCAAAGTTCTACACAGTTTCAATATTCCGTTGTGCTGCCATCTCCTGAGCATCTCTACACCTGGTATCCCCTATCCAAGTATTAACCAGGCCTTATTCAGCTTAGCTGCAGAGATCTGATGATCATGTTCATTTAGGGTCATGTTAGTCATATGCTAGCTGGTAGGTTTACCCCAGTGAGGTCCCTGTAGCTGTACGGTGAGTATCTTGCAGGCCTGTCCATAGGACGTTTTGGACTGTTTTGTCTCCTGTATGCGAATAATTTTAGAAACAAAAATTGTCCGGAAGGAATTAGTTGGATTTCCCAAGCATGAATGTCGTGAACACGATTTGAGACCCGGTTGAGGTGACTGAACGCTGCAGTCGAACATGGTTGGGCTATGAACCGATCTGTATATGGGCCTTTCGTTGCCATTGTGTAACTTTTCCACACACACACAAAGCACTCATTAATGGAATTGGCCAAGCATCCCAATGCAGGAAGGACTGGTAAAAAAACAAACGCTTGAGTATCAGTGAGGCTCGCATGGATAAATAGGTGGACACTGGGTATGACTTTAAAAGAATGTACACACGGTTTCATTTCAGCATTGTTTAACAGAAGAAGAAACTTCTGTTAGCTTTCGCACCACCACTTCTCGCATGGGACATCAGCGTGCATGTGTGCAACAACCACATTCTGAAACAATCGCGGTGTTTTGTCTATGCTCTTGCAGGCGATTTCCAACCCTGGGAATGAGATCTTCCAGGAGAAGGCGTGGAACGCTGTTTGCCCGCTCGTCTCCAAACTCAAACGCTTCTTCGAGTTCTCCCAGCGCCTCGGTGAGGCGTCGCGTCGTGTGACGTGCATCATCTCTGCGCTGTAGCTTGCCAACGGATGAGCTTAGGGAGTTTAAAGTGTCAACACATTTAAATAATAATAGTAATTTGCATCCGTTTTGTCAGTCAACTGCTGGGGAAGGCTTCCCCATGACCATACTTCACCATGCTGGTCAGTAGGAATGGGTGAAGGTGGAGGGGAGTCTAGGGCTGGTTTAGATATTGATCCACTGATTGTAGCTGTGACGGGGAATTCAACTTGTTTCGCCGGGTTCGTAACGCAGTGCATTTACCACTGTGCCACCCACCTCTCTACTCAGATGTATCAAGGAGAGTTTAATTCCTTATCCAACAATATTGAACGGTGGCTTTTGTTAAGCCTAATGCCATTTTAAAACAGTAACCTTGGTATTGTTTGAAATGTCATTTGGCTTAATAAAAGGTACAGAAACAGCTGAATATATGCACATGGTTCTTTAAGTTTGGTATGAATCTTACTTAAGGTATTTAATTTTACAAACTCATGCTTGAAAGTAAACAGCTGCCAAATGTTGTAACTTGATTTCGTATTTGATTTATTTTTACTCTTATAATTGTCAGAGCATAATGGAAAAAATGGATATGCATCGAACAATATTTCTTTGTACCAATGTTCAACATTAATGTAGAGCCTAAGGCATCTTAAGTCATACCATGGTTGGCTACAAATGTATGTGCTCCCACAATAATCTGTTATGGTTTGGCTCAAGATGATGAAAGCAAATAAAAGCATGCTTTTTTTTATACTTGATTAAGTTGGCGTCTGGGCAAGTGTTTTCCAGCCCAGTGGTAGCTGGGTCGTGTGCGTGCGTGCGTGTGTATGCGCGTGGGGAGCAATGTTATGGTGGTTAATAAACTGCTATGAATCGGGGACCTGGGTTCATGCCTGAACTGGTCCTGGGCTTCCTCCTACATCGACTTAGCCTTAAATGAGTATCCCATGATGGGTGTTTAGACATCCGCAATAAGTACAAAAAATGCGGATGGGCGTGGTGTTGGCCACACCGCACCCTTGTACGCCGTGCCAGCCTTCATAGGCGTTCACTTGCAAGCACTTGCCCGAACAGCCTGTGCAGTTTACATGTCTCGTGTGCGCCTGTCAGACCGCGCTCTGCAGAGCCTCCTGGTGGCGCTCACTTGCCCGCCGCTCACGTCCATGCAGCATCTGGAGCGGGAGCAGGCACTCGCTAAGCAGTTTGCAGAGATCCTGCACTTCACTCTGCAGTTCGACGAGCTCAAGGTACCGGGGAACGGGGCCGGCTGATTCAGTGAGAGGCAGCATGTTAAAAGGCATATGTTGTGGACATTGGATGTAAGTTTAACAGGCCCTACATTAATGTATGGCCCTTTTCCTCAATCCACTGCAGGATGGGGGCCTTCCGACACCGTCCAGGTCGCAGTGTTTATTTGATCATACGTCGCCATGCTGCTCAGTATGGGTTGGTGAAAGTGGGAAGCATAGTACAATGTAACAATTGGTTTTACTGTACTCACCTCTGCTGACAATGTAGTCCTGGCTGCTATGGGATGTGGTCACCCATCTAAGCATTATCCAGGCTTAATGGACAATACCTTCTGTGGATAATCTGGAGGTGTTTGATGATTCACCATCCACAAACTCGACCAATTGCCACGATTTGCGTTCACAGCCTATACAATAATTTATATTTTCTGTAAATTGTCTCCTGTTCATTGTTGGTTCATATGATCAGTATCAATTTGTTCCATTAGCCTAAATGCAGACCTGGGGTCAGTAACAATTGTATTCATGGCATTCATAATGAATTGGAGTCACAAAGTAATTGTATTTTTGGCTAACAATGCTGCTGTGAATGTAATTGACCCCGGGTCTGCATAATTGTGGCATTAATCATAATCTGCGGATTTTCACGTGCACATTCCACACATTCATTGTCAGCTAAAGTCTGATTTTCATTTACGCATTGTTACATGTGCCTAATAATTAGTTTTACAATTTGAGCTGTACAGTGAGGGAAAAAAGTATTTGATCCCCTGCTGATTTTGTACATTTGCCCACTGACAAAGAAATGATAAGTCTATAATTTTATCAATTTATAAAATTTTTGACATGCGTTTTTCTGGATTTTGTTGTTGTTATTCGGTCTCTCACTGTTCAAATAAACCTACCATTAAAATTATAGACTGACCATTTCTTTGTCAGTGGGCAAACGTACAAAATCAGCAGGGGATCAAATACTTTTTTCCCTCACTGTATGTTTTATGTTTGTATTATAATTCCATGTTTTTTTTATTGCAGTGTGAGATATTTGTCCTGCTCCTTATTTTCTTGTGCTCACTGTGCCCTGGTTAGATGACCAACCCGGCCATTCAGAACGACTTCAGCTACTACAGACGGACGCTGAGCCGCATGCGCATCAACAACATGGGTGTGAGTGGAACTGAATGAACTCGCATCATTAGAACATTTGGTCTTCACGCCATCCTTATCGCGCACGGGGATCCTGAAGGCACTGTGTTTCACCGACACTGTCTGCAGTAGTTTCGCAGTACGAGGGGATGTTGGTTTGTGTTACCCCAATATGCAGGTCGTTTTAACAATTGGGCAAATTTGGACCATGACGTTGAAAAACATATTGGCTTCCTCTTTTTCAAGGACGTCGTAGGATTTTTTTTTTTCGTCCAGTCTGATGCAGAAGGGACTATTAAGAGAGCGGACTGCCGGTTTCGAACCGCGGACCTCTGCAGATAGTGACAAAGTCCCTGTCAAAGCCCCCAGCTTTCGCCATCGTAGATCAGGGCTGATAAGGAGTCCAGATGAAGATTTATGTGACTCTTGGGCATGCGTCGCCTTTCCCGCACGTTAAAAGTAGCGCTATTGCATGTCAATTCCTTAATCGTTGCCTTCCGTCAAAGCTCGCTTTGTTGAATTATCATCTGCCTTTAAATGTGTTCACTGCTCAAAATGCGTTGGAAAATATTGTTTTGGAGAGTGTAAATTGAACACCAATGACTTGCGTATGTGATCGCACACCCTCTTTGGGAAAAGTAAAAACATAACTTTTGACAAGTTTCTGTTGGCTGCAATGTTTGTTGCTTGAGTATCGTTTTGTCATTGGGATTGACTCAATGCATTACTGGTATTTGCCTTATTTATTAGAAATGAAAATGGTTAGAACGGTGGTGCAGTGTTTGGTGCAGTACGTTGTGAACCCGATGACCTGAGTTTGATTCCTAGCCGCTAAAGGCAGTTTGAGATGCTCCTACACCGCACCTCCGATTAGCTCGGTTGGCTGCGTACAGTGTGAAAGAAGTTTAATATACATACACCTCTGCAATGTATATGAAGTTGACTTCATCCATCCACATGGTCAGCGGTTGGCAACCAAATGAACAAGAACAGCCTTTTTTTCGGATTCGGTAAAAAACAACTCAATATTTCAAGAGCCGCAATGCATGTGAATGCGAGAGACGGTCCTTGATAAACTACGTCACGAAGCGGTCCTTAAAGAGCCACATGCACCTCCAGAGCCGCACGTTGCCGACCCCTGCACATGGGAAACACGAAGTCCATTCCATTACTCAAACTTTGTGTTTATGACACTGCCCACAAGGCATGTAAATATGATCCGTAATATACGTTATTTTGGGTTAGATCGCGTAAATATAAATGCGTGCCAATTTGTAAGGTTTGTCACGTAAACGAAACACGGCAGTTCGTTACTGGTACAGCACACCGCTGTGTTGGAGAGTAAACCCACAACATTTACAATTCGAGTACGACGTTTCTCCAGTAATTACAACTCGCATCATCAGGCGACAGCCACATTTGTGGAGAATTATCCTGTTTCGTTCTTAAATAGAGGGATAAAACTTATGTCGTCCCTTGTGAGTCAATCAGGTGTGAAGGCGGGTGGGGGGGTAATGTATGTATATACATTACAATGTATATGCATTACCGGTTGGGTTATTCATAGGGTTCTAGATTTGAAGTTTTCGTGACTGCAAGGATTCATACTTTTTGGTTTTTTCGGTAAAGTCACGTAGGTCAAAAATAAAATAAATGACAAACAACTCAATTAAATCACGACGTTTCGGGCGCAACATAAGCGTCCTTCTTCAGGTGGGGACAACGTAGCGAAAGCACAACCGCTTAAGTGTGTCTATTCATAGGGTAATCAACACACATTATGCGTGCACATTGTGCTTTACATCCTGCCATTTTTTGTGTGCACAAAAATTGCAGTACCTATTGTGGTCTGCTCACAGTTAATCACCATCGATGCATAGTGACCTGTATAGGTATGCAGTTAAACGGTGTATTACTTTATGTTAACATGTAAAAAATATTAATTCATGAAAATAAGTATGTACACATGACGCATCTAATGATGAGGATGCCACGCTTGTGAAATGTCGTACTATCAAGCCAATATCACAAACGAGCCGGAACATAAAAAACCAGGCAATACAAAAACGGTAAAAAAGAAAGTTAAAAAATGTATCTCAAATTGTGAACGTTTTGTGAATCATGGCAGCAATACGTGCCTTCTGGCTGTCTACTTGACTTTAGTGTTCCATAACTGCTTTTAACGGGAACATTGTCAAACACTTTCTTGGTTCATCATATTTCATTCGGCAGTGTACAGGAGCTGCGGCAGGCGTTGCCCACAAAAACGTGGCGTTGTGCGCAGGCTGATGCGCTTTTCCGTTGCTGCCGTTTTGCATTCGCCACAGTCCGACGTGGAGATGGAGGTGAATAACGAGATGGCGAACCGCATGTCCCTGTTCTACGCGGAAGCGACGCCAATGCTGAAGACGCTGAGCGATGGCACCACGCGGTTTGTGCAGGAGGTAACAGTGGGTGACGTACGCGGTTTATTGTCTCTTGTTCCCGTGTTGGGTCTTTCTGGAGAATGTTTAACAGGATGTGTGCCCCTTCTGGGCTCATATTAGTTTGGTTTGCCTGGTACGTAAGTACAAGGCAACATGTGTGTTGTACATGTACAGTCCTTTGGGAATTTCATTGCTGGATGAGGGCACGTCCCACGCTTTGCATGTTGCAAGGGGTTATTTGACCATACTTTCACGCTGGTCAGTGCGGGTCTGTAAAGATGGGGAGCATTTCCGTGGGAGCATATTCCACTACCACAATACCTTTTGCTGTACTGCCCTTGGATGCCCACAATATTGCCCCGCAGCCAATAACAAACTTTGTGCTTGGCGGTCAACCTTCCATGCACTATCCAGGTTGAGGCCTGCTTGGCTTCTGAGATCTTCCAAGGTCAGACAAATTTGACGTTGACAGTGGCTTGCTATTGAAAATGATAGTAAAGAAAAGTAGATTTGGCTTACAGGTCATTTATTGTGCAAAGTAGTCGCAATTATCCGCCTAGAGATTGATAAGGAAAACCTGTCTCTTATCTACGAGTTGTGGTGTTTAGTGTGGTAACGTGACTAGGCACGCTCTGTTCAGAGAAAATTAAACGAATTATTTGCTCGTGATGCGTTGGCAGTGGGTCATAAATAACAAAAATGTAAAACATTCGTCAATAACACATTCATTACGTGCCATGAGGAAGGGCCATTTCCCCAATACATCATCTATTATATATTCTTCCTTTTAGGATGGTGTTATTGACGAACATGAGTTTTTAGGTTTTGACAGTATCATAGAGTTGCTGGACATTTGAAAACAGCGTCAGGGAAGCCTTATAAATTGTTTGATAAATTACGGCAAATCCCTACCAAATAACAGGCACTCATACTTGATGCTGTTCATGGAATACAGCATTAATTGGGTGGAGAGATATGGGCGATTGTTTCATGGACTTTATTTTACCTGGTGAGAACCCGTTTAGAATGCTAGTTCCTATTTCAAGGGGAGGCCTGGGCCAACATGATAACTGATCCAGTGCAATGCAGGCCTGACATACAGGCCAAAGCAGCAGACGATCCATAGACACGAGTTAAAGGGCACCAAGCCCTCAATTTGGAAGAGTTTACATTGTCCTTTTAAGTCACAACAGCATGTCTTTTTTAGATTTAAAGCTTTCGGGACTGCAGGGATTCATCTTCTTGGTTCTTTCGGTAAAGTCACGTAGAAGGGAAATAATCAAATAATAAAACTCAAACAATAAAATACAATTCTCACGACGTTTCAGACGCTGTCTTTCCGACAGACCTGTTCTTCACCTGAGGACGGCTGCTTGCGTTGTGGCCGAAACGTCGTGAGAATTGTATTTTATTATGTAAAATGTTTTATTATTTTATTATTTCCCTTCTACGTGACTTTACCGAAAGAACCAAGAAGATCATGTCTTTTTTTATATCACTTGGCATTAATAGCCTCAACTTGTTCAAATGTATCTCATTTTTAATAAACGAGCAAGGTTTATCATGGTGAACATATCAAATTCAAATGTTTTATTCGCATATCGCTGGGATATTTGTTTGCTTCACGCCTTTTTGTTTAATCGGTAGTTAATAATGTGTACAATGTTGATTCCTGTTTCAGCACAAGTCACTTCCCCTGGAAAATACGACAGACTGCTTGAGCACCATGGCGAGGGTGTGCAAAGTCATGCTGGAGACACCGTAAGCCTCGCGCTGTGACCGCATGTGACTGTGTGTTGCCGTGTGCTTCAAATGAGCACATGGTTGGTATGTCAACATCTGCACTGGGGAGACGAAGGCGACCGGGTGTGGTGTTGGCCACACCACACCCTCGTGCGCCATGCAGGCCGTCATAGGCCCGCCCCAACGGCACTTGCCCCGACAGTTTGTATGACTACACGGCGATCTTTGTGTTCACGTCGCACTGCACCTACAGTCCGTAGTGGCGTGGTGATTAATGCGCAGCACGGCAATTCCAGTGACCTCGGGTACAATTTTTAGCCACCTCCAGGTGGAATTTTGCATGAACTTCATTATCTGAACTGCTCCAATGGCAGTCCCTGGTATCAAAATATATACAGTAAAACCTTGGATTGCCAGTAACTTGGTCTGCGAGTGTTTTGCCAAACGAGCAAAAATTTTACCTAAATATTAATTTGATTAACGAGCGAGGTCTTGCAATACGAGTAGTATGTGTATATGCTTTGTCTGCCGAGCGTCACGTGATCACAACTGATATACGAGTGCTTTGGATTGCAAACACGTTTCCGGAACGAATTATGCTCGCAATCCAAGGTTTTACTGTATGTAGCTTAAGAATTGATGATGTAGTCCTGCAGCAACATACAATATACCTGTTTTCTATGCATGGTTGTCTTCCATTCAAGCACTATCTGGAATGAAACCTGCTTTGCTTCTGAGATGCGATGAAATGGGGCACATTTTGGGTTCATTTGGTAACACACACACACACAGGCTTGGTTGGCAATTGCAGTCTCTGTGTGTGTGCACTGCCGGCAGGGAGTACAGGAAGCGCTTTGCGAGCGAAGAGACGGTGTTCTTCTGCTTGCGCGTTATGGTGGGCGTCATCATACTCTACGACCACGTGCATCCTGTGGGCGCCTTCGCCAAATCTTCCAAAATCGACGTACGGTGCACGCACACACGCCTGCACGCATGCAAATAAATCCCCTGTATGGCTTAATTTCATTTTGGGGCAAGTAGTGACTCCCAACGGGGTGGTGTGGTCTGAACTACGCCTGGTGATATTTATCTCACCTGTGCTGGTGTTCACACACGGTACCTGGTATGTGTTTTAGGCTGAGTTGATTTAGGGGAAACCCAGACTCTGTTCTGATATCAATTCTGGTTGCTGGTTTTGTAGCGTAGTGGGATAACCACACCGCCATTGCTCCCCCGCCATGCATGCACACACATGTATGTGCACGTCGCTTCAGTTTGGGAACAATAACGTCTGATGTGTAAAAATGTTTGTTACATTTTTATTAAAGTTAACTCCTCATCTTCAGGGTGTTTTTTACCTTTAGATACATTTTTAAACAGTAAAAAATGATTCGAACAGATTATCTTAAACATTAGTTACCTTTTACATTCAATCTAAGTACAGAAAAAATAGGATCCTTTAGAAGATCGTCTTTTTCAGTTTTTTGACAAGCATTTTTTCGTACTACGATATTCTGTTTTGTCAGGACTTTTCAAATAGCTTTACCCAATTGGATCTCTGAGTTTATAACGACAGTTACATGCTAATTTCTCACATTAACATCACTAGCCCCGGCCACTTCTTTATAACCCTTGAGCTACACCCATTTCAAACCTTTTAAAACAGTCTGTCTCAGCAGCAGACCATGCTTTCTCACCTGATGATGGACGCTTGTGTTGCGCCCGAAACGTCGTGATTTATTTTATTTTATACCTACGTGACTTTACCGAAAGAACCAAAGAGTATACTTTATAACGAGTTCAAGACACGCACACAGCTGTGCAAGATCAGAGATGCGGTGGCAGCAAAATCCTTAATCTGCATGGATGCCCACACACCCACACACCCACACATCCACACATGCATGCAGGCTTTCGCATTCACACTGCGCAGATTTGAGAGGATCGTGCCAAAAGTCTCGTGGCCTTTCAACGTTTCACGCGAGAGCACAACGCCATGGCGTGGGTGCGAGGCAAAGAAAACGCTTTGTGTGTCGCCCTGTGCCAAGGTCGGGCGGTTCACCTCTGTATTGAATCTGCACCCGAATGGAGATGTAGCGCTCACAAATGTTACACACTCGCTTTTGTTGCTCGTGAGCGTCCACAGCGAGGATGGGAACCTGCGGGTCCGCACGGTGTGTGCCTCTCGTGACTTGATATCATAGGGCCCACAGGCACATGAGGCCTACTACTTAAAAATGGCCTGCAACATTATACATTTTTCATCGCTGCAATGAAGTGCGCTACAAACCTGGTGAACCCAGTTCCATTCCAGGCCATGGCTATCATAGGTGGAAATTGATATTAAAACTGGTTAAATCTCCCCCACCTTAATTAAATTGCACTGACCAGCTTGGTGAAGGATGGTATAACAACTTCCGTAAACCAAGCGGTTTTGGGAGGCTTTCGTCCAGTCGTTGATTGACAAAGGGTTTTAAATAACAATTATATGGGGCCATCCATTAAGTACGTACGCAAAAATCTGTCAAAACTTGACCCGTCCCTCCCTCCCTGTACGCACGCGTACTCCCCCCCCCCCCCACCCCGAATCCTTTAGAATGGCCGATATTTAATCCATGCAGAAACGATCAAGGATTAATAATATTAACGTGTTTAAGCAAACAGATAGTCCACCTCCGCCTGCATTAAATAATTAAGTTGCGTACCTTGGCCACTGATGTTGCTGAGCTGCGTGACAGCTGCAGTCAGGGGCACGGTGGCACACGAGTGACACCTCTCCCAGAGTCCCACTTCTCCCAGCAGTACTTGTTGTCTGACAGCTGAAGACACTGAACTGTGGCTCATTTGAAGGCCAATGTCGACAAATTACTATAGATGCCTCACCCTTCACTCCCCCCCCCCAGTTTCCTATGCCTACGTACATTGTCAGTAGACCCCCCATATGCAAGCGTACGCATTTGGGTTAAACCCCCCCTTCCCCCCTCCATGCGTACGTACTCCATGGATGGCCCCTATTGTTATTACTCTTAATGTCATTCTTTGCTGTAAAGCGTTTTCATGTGTTTTTGTATTTCGCTGCTTTCTAATTTCAAATTGTGATTGGCACAGTTTTGTCTTGGCACACGAGTTCCTCTCTGAAGTGGAAATGACGAAAAAGGGAAGTTCAGTTGGGCGTTATCAGCTGTGGAGTGTGAGAGGCAGAACTTGGCCAGGGATTTTACACGGGACCGCGTGAATAAAATCCGCTTGATCAGCTCTGTTCACATCACGTCCCACGTCAACTCCTTTCCTCGTCTTCTTGGTTCTTTCGGTAAAGTCACGTAGAAGGGAAGTAATAAAATAAAAAAAATAAAACATAATAAAATAATTCTCACGACGTTTTGGCCACAACGCAAGCATCCGTCTTCAGGTGGAGAACAGGTCTGTCAAGTAGACAGAGTCTGCTTGACTTTACCGAAAGAACCAAGAAGATGAATCCCTGCAGTCACGAAAGCTTTAAATCGAAATCCTTTCCTTGTGTAAACAAAGTTTTAATAGAAGGAATAACGCCGCACTTGCACGAGAAAAATCTCACTGCTGAGCTTTAATAAACAAGTGTTTGATAGTGTTTTGGTAGTTATGTTGGTTGTAGATTACCACATTCATCATTAACGCTGTTCTACACCAGAAGCTCTGCCTTTATAATATAATTTGTTTTCATTCATTAGGCAGAGGTTTCATATTTATAATGATCAATGATTTCTCTAACTGTAATGCCGATAGGGGTTAACGTTATCTTTTAACAGAAAGGTATTGTTAAACAATGAGCGTTGTGGGTATTTCAAATTTGTATTGATTCACCACTACAAGCAGTATGCTCATTTAGAGGGCTTTAACCTGTTAAAGATAATGTTTTGTTGATGCTGTGATTTTACGTATAAATAATTATATTATTTTAAATACTGCATTTTATATATTATTCATGGTTAATGTCTGCACCAATCCGGTTCCCTGGGAACCTTTGTGCCCGTATCCAAGGACAGTACATCTCACGTCTGCGTTCCAGAAAGGGAGTTGTTGTATCTGTGATCTCTCGCTGACTTTAAACATTGCAAAAACTTGAATGAACACGAGTTGTTTGATCACCGATGATGCTCCTGTTCACCTTCTAAAGGGGTTTTTTGTGTGCTGATTTTAACAGATGAAAGGCTGCATCAAGGTGTTAAAGGACCAGCCAGCCAATAGCGTGGAGGGTCTCCTGAATGCGCTCAGGTTTGTGTGCCCCACCCGCCCGCACTGCGTTCCGCCTGCTGCATTCTTGTATTCTTTTTTTATTTCCGTGGGAAAATTGCCAACGAAGACAGTCGGGCTTCCTGTTGGCCGCCCACCCATGTTTATAATGTTTAAAAATATATATTTTTCAACATTTCCACCTCCCCTACTTCTCCATTGCTGCCAGCACGTAAACGGTACCAGTTGCAGAGCAGACTTCTTGTGTTGCCGGTCACTGGAAGTCCTGACAAGAGTCGAGCACGCACATTCTGATTGGGAGCAGTTTTAAATAATGTGCTATTAGCGATCATGTAATTTACCCAAATTAATTCTCCTCTCATTCTTTCTCCTTGATCGTGAGTGCATGTGTCAATGTTCGTTGTGGAGGTGGTGGCAGTGGAGCGGTTAGCCCAGAGGTCGCAAACGGGTTTTGATTCCTTACCCGTACCCGTACCCGGCCGCACCAGGGTCGCAAATGGGTACCCGTACCCGGCCGTACCCGTACCCTACCCGAAATGAGTGACAAACGGTTACTCAGCAGTGACTCACGGCCTACCCGTACCCGGCCGCACCAGGGTCGCAAACGGCTACCCGTACCCGTACCCGGCCGGGTACGGGTAGCCGGGTATCGGGTAGGGTACGGGTATCGGGTACTCGGTTGCGACCTCTGGGTTAGCCCACTTCACTACGAACGCGGCCCACCTGGGTTTGATATTGAGCCATGGCTAAACATGAAGTAAATGTTTACCTGGTGTGGCGTGTGAACAGCAGTACCAGGGAGACGATAGCAGCTGGCCATGGTGCTGGTCACGCGACCGCATCAGGGCACCATGCTGACCTAAATAGGTGCTCGCTAACTTCCCCCAACAGCTCGTGTCGCCGATACACGGGATCTGTGTCTATTTCTGCAAGGCAGCTGTTCCATTGTTTAGCATATTAAAGCTTATTGGCACAGTATTACAGACACAATTGGACATGCAATGGTGCAGTGATTAATCAAGTCAACATTGCATTCAAATTACATGCATCGAAATGTGAGTTTGCGATTAGATTTCCTTCCAATGTATTCAAATTATAAAAATATTATACTCTTGTTTTGTATGGATATAAATTGGGTAGCAAACGTAAACCCACTTGCAATATTTAAATCCAGCTGTTGGCTTCTTGTACCTTCAGAGATTTCTGACATGGAATTAACGATGTGTTCCACTGTTTGTTGTGGTGCATAGCCGTTGCATTAGTTAATTCGTTTATTTTACATTTGTAGAAAAGGTGCTAGTGTTACAGTTAGGCTAATGGGGAAAAATACTATTTTACAACTGAGAAAAGAAAATAACGTAGATAAACATGTTGATACTGGTAGGAACCGCCAGGTTACACCAGCCCACCGGGGATTATTGTGTCCGTCATGCAGGGCGGGGCTGGGTGGGGAGGGTGGGAGCGGTGGGGCTGGGTGGGGAGGGGCTGGTCACCCCATGGTGCCCTTATAAAACTCAACGTTTAACCTACTCACGCCGGCTTGTGCCCGCCCTCAGTCGGGCATATTTGCGGAAGACACCACGCCGCCGTTGACCCTGGCCATTGACGGAGTAACCCAACGTTCCTACCAGCTCCCTCCGCAGGAATGTGTTAAAAGATAATTGACTTCTGACTTGAATCGTGATGGCAAATCAGACCAAGTTATTGAACTACTTGGTGGGTAGTGGTAAATTGTTAACATGCCTACTGTTTACAGGGGACTGTGTTTTAATACATGCACAGCCAGTTTTATAAATATGAGAGCCTGCCTATGCCGCACAGGTTGTGAGCGTTAATTGACCATACTTTACCACGCTTGGTCAGTGCGGGTTGGTGAAGGTGGGAGGTGGACAGAACAACAGCAGATCTTGCTCCGCTGTCAAAGGTGCAGCTGGTAGTGCTCGGATGGTTGCCCATCCAAGCACTATCCAGGCCCAACACTTGCTTAGTTTCCAAGGTCTGACGGGATCGGGATGTGATGGGTATGTCTTGACCATAAAACCCATCACGTGCGTGCCTCTCGTCCATTCCAGGTACAACACCAAGCATTTAAATGAAGAGACCACCTCCAAGCAGATTAAGGCCATGCTCCAGCAGTGAGAGCGTGAGCCCCGGACTGGGCGTCTCGGACGCGCTGCCGCGTGACATCGCTGCTGCCCTTGTCTTTCTAGCCGGCAGGTTCATCTCTCTGTCTCGCCGCCGGCTCTCGTTAACGCGTACGCGCTTTGCCGTGCGTACAGGTTGATGCAAAACGTGCGCCGCACTATTTAAATGTCACCAAGAGGTACTCGTCGAAGTGTTTTTGTTTTTTAATTTGTTCCATCGGTGTGATTATCAGTGTGGACCTGTACTCCAACCAAATGATCAAATTGTACTGTCCTAGGTTTTACAAACTGTGCATGGCAATTGTAACACAGTCGATGGAATTGTAGGGTTTGAGAGCAGTATGGAGTTGATTTTAATAGCCATGATTTGGAAGACTTGGGCTAAGGAAACAATTTGCTGATTGTGTTGAGAGTTCGTTTTATTCATAGCATGACAGTAGATTTCTTTGTATGTGTATATATTTGTTAGCATTTAATTCCAAGCACATACCAGCAAGAATTTGTCCATTTGCACTTGTATATAAGAATGCTGCCTCTTACCAAAGTGACCCTTTTTTAAATGCTATTGCATACATATATAACTGATGAGCTAATTTGCGCCTGCGACAACGTTTTTTATTTTAACAATGTGATGTTCTAAGAGCTTTTGCTGGCCGATCATGCCAAATTGAATGCATCTTCGTGTCCCATTCAATAACGAACGTGAATAGAGTCTGCGACATGCTTCATTAATGACCGAAGCATTTTATTGTGATGGATACGCTCAAAGACTGTTTTTGGGGTGACCTTGGGAGAACAATCTCAATTAAGGCCACCTGGTGGCAGCTGATGTGAATTAAACGGTGCGTTTCAGGAATTGTTTTTTTATCGGGCAACAAGATTCATGGTTGTATCACAAAGCTAATGTCAAGGTTAGTGTTGGCCCATATTTAAAACGTAAGGGTGCAGGTTACAATATTATATCTGCTGGCTAAAAAATTATATTATTTTTTATAAACATTTCTGTCTCATCCTAGTTGACCGTAAGCTTCAATGGTCTAAAGAGCCAAAATCAGCTCCTGTAATCAATGTTAAGTATTCATGGCAATGGCTGATTCAGTTTTTTCAAAGTATGCTCGTGATTTAAATGCAATCTAATATTTTCCATCTGGAGACGTCAATCATCTCAGCGTGTTATGCTTTTGGTGTTAGAGAATGGTAAATTAAAAAAATCAAACAAGTGTTATATAAGTTAATTTTGTATGCATGTAACGATTAAAAAAAATATATAGTATAGTACAATCATTTAAAATGTGGTACCAATGCCCTTGTAGCACCAGCTGCCTTTCTGTAGCATGTGTCTGTAAGATGACTTGGTACTGTGACTATGGACAAAACTTGCGAGTGCTATTTTGCTACTGAGGTACTGACTTGATTTGGCGCTCCTTCAAGGCGATGATACACTATGGACATTGCATGGCATTGTCACTGGAAATAGTTGCCACCATTTCGTTGCCAAAATCTGGACACATCTATTTGCTGCTCCTTGTAGTGAGCAACCAGGATAGCAACTTCCAATCAGATTACAGACAGGTCACATAACTACCAAACGTTGAGTGCTCTATCGACCTATAGCTCATTCAACATATTTCAACAAACTGGTAAAATTGGCTAGGCAGAACTGTTTCGCTGTGCTTTTGCTGCACCGAGTTACTATAGCTGCGCATAGTAATTGCGTTGCTAGTGACGATCGCAGGCGGTGATTTCCCGAGAGTATCATGACCTTCAGGCATTTTTAAAGAGGCTGCAGGATGCACTGCAATCCTAAGTGGCGAGTGGCTAGGTCTAGTAGGGTTTAGCCTGGGCAAACTTTTTTACCAGCTGCGGAATTCAAATACACAGCCTGTGCAGTAAACCCTCTTGAAGGCCTGCTCGCTGACCGCTGACAGAGCGCGAGGTCAACACTATCAGAGCACGTGGTTGACTGACGGGAGAGGTTTGCATCAGATCGTTTTTACGGCTTGCCGTTTTCGGTTGCCGATCAGGTCATATTCACTATGTCATGTTTTTGTCATGACCTGACCCGCATCCGAACGGCAGGTCATGAAAATTACGATGCGAATTATGTGGTGCGTTTGAAGAAATATGGTGCTACGGACCAATTGAGAATCTTGCTTGTATCCTAAAACCCAATGGAATGGACTCCAGACTGACGCAATCGGTGAATCCCATGTCCTTGAGCACGTCAGTCTACGATGTGCTAGGGTAGTGGCAACCTTGCGCGGTCACATTTTTCGACGTACAAAATAATAACATTTATTAAATTATATATAGAAAAAAAATACTTCCAAAAAAACATTTCGGCCCTCCGCAAAGAATATTTTATGCAGCTGCCTCTGGCTGCCTTGCGACGCTTCCTGCCCCCTCTTTAAAGCAGCCTCTTGGAGCCTGAAGAGTGCACTTGCGTGTGAGCGTACACGCGCCCGTAAACCACGTTGCGTGCCCATGTGGCGGCAGTGGCATCGCTGAATGTATTGGGCGTCTGCTCACTTCACAAGCAAAGACTGACGTGTGTAGGAAATGTGTTGCAGCCGCAGAGTGTGCTATGCAAAGTGTGACCATCACTGTAAACCCGCTACTGTTTTAACGCGACTCGTTACTTGAATGTCCGTCGTCACGGCACAAAACAAGCGACGGGAGCCACTCTCGACCCGAGTGTCGGGTTGGCGTCTTGATGCATTTGCGAATCATCCAAGAGAATGCTTGACATGAAGTGGTGAGTGAATTAGTGGTGAGATGTGGCAGACGACGACACATTTGTGAAGTGGAGCAATGTTTCTCCTCCTTGCGACCCCTCCACTGTGGTGCAGCTTTACTTTGCTATGGATTCATCTTCTTGGTTCTTTTGGTAAAGTCACGTAGAAGGGAAATAATAAAATAATAAAAATAAAACATAATAAAATAATTCTCACGACGTTTCGGGCATTCAGACGCCGTCTCCCCGACAGACCTGGTCTTCACCTGAGGACGGCTGTTTGCATTGTGGCCGAAACGTCGTGAGAATTATTATTATTATTTTTTTTTTTTTATTTCCCTTCTATGTGACTTTACCAAAAGAACCAAGAAAGATGAATCCCTGCAGTCACGAAAGCTTTAAATCGAAATTTGCTATGGATCCTTACCTGTCACATTTGATTCGAGCCGCTACACGTTGAACAGACGTCACGGTAATCTCAGAATGCTGCATCGTGGGGAGGTCATTAGGACCGGAGTTTGAGAAACATGGATGTAGAGAATTGTTGCTTGTTAAAACTCCAACCCTTGTGTTCTCTCTCATGGCTTGATTTTCACGAGTTCGTATTTGTGTGCATTGCGACTTCTTGTTGATGTGAGATTCTGAACGCAGGAATGGGGAGATCTTCTGCAAATATGGAAGAGACAATTCAATGAAAATATGTAAACAAGTTGGTTTTAAATAATTGTGTTAAGGGAAATTAATAAACATTGAATTAATCTCAAATATATGCCACGTAATAGATGGAAGTTAATATGAGCCTTTACTATGTACTTTGGGAAAGAGAGTACAATTTAGAAACACGTTAGGGCCGAAAATGCAAAACTATGCGTTTTGTTCATTACACGGGATATTGTTGTACCCTCTTTCTTGCACTGGCTCATCCGATATGGCATCACTATGCTTTTGTGCGTGTTTGTGTTCAGACGTTAATAAGTGTTTGACAACAGACCAACGGCTCAATGACATACATTATTTGAACACTAGTTATGTTTGAAGCAAGCTCTGTCCAAGCTTTACTTGGTAGAATAAACATTCAGTTTTTTTGTAAAGTATACCAGCCTTTACAGTGGTGTATGCCATGGGTAATCGGAAGTCCATTTAGCTCATGTTTAGACTGCCCTCTAGAGGCAATATTAATGTTGGTACGGTTTATTTTCTTGCTTGTGCGGCACATTTAAACCAAAAGCAGGCAAACAAAGAATGCTTTTACGACTACAATATGCTCATGCTTGCTGTATACCGGCTTAGAGGGAAAAGGGGTTTGAATAAGTGCACTTTTTCCCGTGTTGTGACGAACAGCGTAGTAAACCGTTTGGAATGGCCCTGGTTAAATCAGAAATAAGTTTCGAAAGATTCAGTTACTACGAGGTGGCCTGATGGCTAAGGAGAGCCTCAATGGCCATGTTGAAGCACTGAGCCAATGCCACTGAGAAGCTTTACAATCTGGTTCGCGACCCGTGATTAACCACCTTTTCAAGTGTAGTGGATTTGATGGCCTCTTGCTCCTTCACTAATGACCACACACACATAAAAAAAATCATTCAGCACAACTAAAGTTAAGCTTAAAATGTACTCGCGGTCCATGGTCCTGGATCATTGTAAATTTTGGGGCAAAGCTTCGATAAATAACATTGTATATTTGACACTTCAGATGATTAAGCATCAATTGTCAATGGAAGTGTCCTTAAAGTGGTCAGAAAAGCTCTCGATATTGCGGCACGGTTATTTGAGGCCCGACTGACTGGAAAATATCTCAAACGATATTTCTTCACCGAATGACATGAGTAGCATATTTATGATACAATCTGAGATAAATCCCAAAAAGGGAAAAGCATTCCGTGCAGTGAAAACCAACTCGCTGTCGGCTATGAAACAAATGAATGCAGTCACAGTACTCTGTAGAGGCGCTCTTTCGAGTTATCTCCAGCGGAGGACTTCCAGCATGCGGTGATGTGAGCCATCAATTGGAAGGTTGCGCATTTATTAATTACAATCCGAACGTATCACCCGTGGGCTGTCTAACGCTGGTGCATTGTTGGCCACTTGATGCCCCGAGTGTGGCTTTTGAGCACATTTACGATTTTCATGCCATCACAAAACGATGAATTGTTACGATTCGTGGTCGCGACTAATTTGAGTTGATTCTTTCGTCTACCATTCTGATTCATGCAAAATTACGAGTGCGAGAAGCGGTCACAACGTCATGCGGTGGGGGTGCCAGTCCATTGGGAGAGCCCTCTGGAAATTATTTGGGGTGCGTAATTACAACAAACAAATTCTGGACAAAACTACTTGTCAGAGTTACGTGAACCAATCTAATACAACAATTTCAAAGAAATGACTTTTGTTATCGTGTCAATAGCATGATGCCCTTTTATGCTTTTATAAGGATCTCCGTTCAAGCTGATATTGGGTGTTATTTGAATCCCCTAGACTCTTGAGCTCGTTGGGATCATAAACTTCTGCTTATTTTCGTTCTGCCTAGCACCGCCACTGGCATCACACACGAATCAAGAATAATCGAGTCATAACTCGCAGTGTTCCGTGCGCCTTGAGCATAGGTTTTCGATTGTAATCGATGTGTCGTCACGCGTCTAATCGCGTTGCATGAAGATGCGGTGGGGGGAGTGATTGAGATGGGGTTGGCTCAGTGTGTGGTTAAGTGTTGAAAGGAAATGTGCGATTGAAATTGGTGGGAAGTGGCCACGCATTAAAATGAAATGTCCTTTCAAGAATCATACTGTAATTTTGAGGTCCGTTATGCAGTTCATTGCATTTTTAAATGCTCTTTTGTACGAATGAAATCCAACAGAATAAAAGCTTGATGATATATTCCGCTCTGTTGATGGTTTTGTCAGGGATGACAACACAGGATAGACCATGGCTGCTGATGACTACACCGCATTAATTCTATATCTTTTTGCACAAACAAGCCGTGCATGTGACATTTGCTGTAAATGTTACAGTGACCTGGATTGTGAGAAGTCTGGCTCTGCAAAGTACTTGCTCACGCCACTCGAAAAGTTTCCCCCATTAGAGGGAGGTCAAGGATATTTTGGCCTACTCTTCCACGCTGGTGGGAGCACCCACACTTTACCCCACCACACACATGTCGATCGACTAACTGGTGCACCAAATTACTGGTTGCTGTTGGATTAAAGCGGTCGGGTCAGGATTTAAGACACATCCATTGTTTCATAATAGAGGTTTTTGGGTTAGATCGCGTAAATATATAAATGTGTCATTAAATCCGCCGCCACCACCACCCGACACAGCCAATTAGTAAGGTTTGTGACATAAACAAACATGCCAATTAGTTACTTCTTCAGCACGCCGGTGTGTTGGAGAGTAAAACCCACAACTCTCAACATCAATTGTGAGAATTGCCACGCCAGGAGATCGAATCGGTGACCTGCATTGCAAGTCCAGTGTACAAAAATCATTGCATCACTACAACGGCAGCATCCTTATATTTCGAATTGTGTTAAACGTTACACGTCGATGTATGAGCAAAATACATCAACCAACACTGGATAATGGTGTGGTGATATGCATATTGTTATTTTTCACCGTGGGGTTTATTATGTTAATTGAACCGTTTGGTTCTATTAGGTTAATTGCACCGTGGGGTTATTTTATGTTAATTGACCCTTGGGGTTATATTATGTTATCTTCTTGGTTCTTTCGGTAAAGTCACGTAGAATGGAAATAATAAAAATAAAACATAATAAAATAATTCTCACGACGTTTCGGCCACAACGCAAGCAGCCGTCCTCAGGTGAAGACCAGGTCTGTCGGGGAGACAGCGTCTGAATGAAACAGCACACGAGCTTGGAGCGTATATAAGCTGGGTTAAAAGGGGGGGAAAGGGCGCCTTGACAAAATAATTTGCATATCAAGAGGAATTTAGCATATTTAGTACTACTTGTGCCCGTGCATTATGCAGGATTAGCAGCATCAAAGGGAGGGGATAGGGGTAGCATTAATAAAGGGAAGGAATGTTAATAGTATGTAGCTGCAGTAACTAAAACCACCACGTAAAAAACTAAAGTATAAACTACATATTATCACCGTGGGATTATATTATGTTAATTACACCGTATGGTTATATTATGTAAATTATTACCAAATAAGTCGATCGCCGCTATCCAATCGGATCGCGCGTTGCTCGTCACGTGCGCGCGATGAGCCAATCGCGAGCGCGTATCCGCGCGCCCGGAGTTCCCATCGCCGGGTGGTGTTCCGGCATCCCTGCGGGTCTCCGCGCTCTCTCTCACCAACTTGTTCACACGCTTGTTGTTCTTGTTGTTGTTCTTGTTGTTCTTGTTGATGATCACTGGACGGCGTTTAGCGTAACGCCATGGCCGGGCGCCTGGCGTTCGTCTCGCTGCTCGCCGCGTTGTCGTGGTCCCGAGGCGGAGGCGGAGGCGCGGAGTGGGACCCTGCGGGCTACGTCCTCTACTGCCCCTGCATGGGTGAGCCAGGGGGGAGGAGGGGGCCTCGTGCCTCATGCCACCTCCACTCTCTCCTGTGGCTCTCTGTCTCTCCTGTGGCTCCATCTCTCTCTATGTCTCCTGTGGCTCCATCTCTCTCTGTGTCTCCTGTGGCTCCATCTCTCTCTGTGTCTCCTGTGGCTCCATCTCTCTCTGTGTCTCCTGTGGCTCCATCTCTCTCTGTGTCTCTCCTGTGGCTCCATCTCTCTCTGTGTCTCCTGTGGCTCCATCTCTCTCTCTATGTCTCCTGTGGCTCCATCTCTCTCTGTGTCTCCTGTGGCTCCATCTCTCTCTGTGTCTCTCCTGTGGCTCCATCTCTCTCTGTGTCTCCTGTGGCTCCATCTCTCTCTCTATGTCTCCTGTGGCTCCATCTCTCTCTGTGTCTCCTGTGGCTCCATCTCTCTCTGTGTCTCCTGTGGCTCCATCTCTCTCTGTGTCTCTCCTGTGGCTCCATCTCTCTCTGTGTCTCCTGTGGCTCCATCTCTCTCTGTGTCTCCTGTGGCTCCATCTCTCTCTGTGTCTCCTGTGGCTCCATCTCTCTCTGTGTCTCTCCTGTGGCTCCATCTCTCTCTGTGTCTCCTGTGGCTCCATCTCTCTCTCTATGTCTCCTGTGGCTCCATCTCTCTCTGTGTCTCCTGTGGCTCCATCTCTCTCTGTGTCTCCTGTGGCTCCATCTCTCTCTGTGTCTCTCCTGTGGCTCCATCTCTCTCTGTGTCTCCTGTGGCTCCATCTCTCTCTCTATGTCTCCTGTGGCTCCATCTCTCTCTCTGTGTCTCCTGTGGCTCCATCTCTCTCTGTGTCTCCTGTGGCTCCATCTCTCTCTGTGTCTCCTGTGGCTCCATCTCTCTCTGTGTCTCTCCTGTGGCTCCATCTCTCTCTGTGTCTCCTGTGGCTCCATCTCTCTCTCTGTGTCTCCTGTGGCTCCATCTCTCTCTGTGTCTCCTGTGGCTCCATCTCTCTCTCTGTGTCTCCTGTGGCTCCATCTCTCTCTGTGTCTCCTGTGGCTCCGTCTCTCTCTGTGTCTCCTGTGGCTCCATCTCTCTCTCTGTGTCTCCTGTGGCTCCATCTCTCTCTGTGTCTCCTGTGGCTCCATCTCTCTCTGTGTCTCCTGTGGCTCCATCTCTCTCTGTGTCTCCTGTGGCTCCATCTCTCTCTGTGTCTCCTGTGGCTCCGTCTCTCTCTGTGTCTCCTGTGGCTCCATCTCTCTCTCTGTGTCTCCTGTGGCTCCATCTCTCTCTGTGTCTCCTGTGGCTCCATCTCTCTCTGTGTCTCCTGTGGCTCCATCTCTCTCTGTGTCTCCTGTGGCTCCGTCTCTCTCTGTGTCTCCTGTGGCTCCATCTCTCTCTCTGTGTCTCCTGTGGCTCCATCTCTCTCTGTGTCTCCTGTGGCTCCATCTCTCTCTGTGTCTCCTGTGGCTCCATCTCCTGTGTGTCTCTCTCTCTGTGGCTCAATCTCTCTCCTGTGTCTCCTGTGGCTCCATCTCTCTCCTGTGTCTCTCCTGTGGCTCCATCTCTCTCCTGTGTCTCTCCTGTGGCTCCATCTCTCTCCTGTGTCTCTCTCTGTGGCTCTCTCGTCGACAGGCACATCGACTAACTCAATCGTCCACGCGGTGACCATCGGTGGACATCGATGCGCTATAAAACCAAGACATTGCCTCGTCGTGTTTTTAGTTTTTAGTTTTCGAGGCACTTTTTAAACAAATGTGGGGGTGGTTTTTAAACGGGCGGGATTCCATTTGTGTTTTATAAATCACTTGATCTTGAACAGCACTTAAACCAGACGGGGACGCGTGGAAGAAGGTTTATTAATATAAGTTTTTTGGGTTAGACGCATTTATACTTCACGCGATCTAACCCAATAACATTTAAATACGAGTAAAATTGGTCGCGAAAGCCTAAAATTTATAAAGGTCTATTATATCCACCTGTCTCTTTTCACTTCTTTATATAAACACACAAACCTGTCAACCCATTGGCAGTGCCCCAACTTATTACAGACCAATGCAGACCTTACTGCTCACCCCGTGCCCTATTAAACCTCAACCTTCATCCTACAAAGCCCCATCACAAGGGAGAAACACAAACAATTAGACACAACATTAGTGCCCGTGTTGAAACGCCTGTACACCGTATGGAACTGGCCACTTTAAATGTCTCTGTAAGAGAACACGGGGTCACACCGCATGGGTTCACACGGTGTGCAAGCCACGAGTAGCAGAATTAAAAACTTGAAAAAAAATTATTCCTTCTTAAACTTGTCTAAATCATACTCTTTGGTTCTTTCGGTAAAGTCACGAACTGCTGTTGAGTTCCACTTCTGGATTATATTTTTTCCGCCTGAGTTACGACCGCTTTTGTTGCGATCGAAACGTCGTAATTTATTGTTTTTTCTAGCTACGTGACTTTACCGAAAGAACCAAAGAATATGAATTCCTGCAGGCACGAAAGCTTCAAATCAACATTGTCTATGGCCGGAGCCTTCGCCCGTGTTGCTTATCATTCGATGCATTGCCCCAAAAGTCTCGGTGGGGTTCGCAATCCCCCACCAGCTCAGGTTGATTGTCTCAAGCGCCGGTGGTGGCTGCTGCTGATGCTGAATTCCGCAGGGCGCTTTGGGAACCAGGCCGACCAGTTCCTGGGCTCGCTGGCGTTCGCGCGGATGCTGAACCGCACGTTGGCCGTGCCCCCCTGGGTGGAGTATCGCCACCACACGCCGCCTTACACCAACGTAAGTCCCTCGAGAGAGAGGCCAGCAGCGGCGAGATGGCACGGAAGAACGGTGTTGGGTTCTCAATCACCCACTCACTCACGCACTGACTCACTCGCTCACGCACCGACTCACTCACTCACCCACTCATGCACTCACCCACCCACTCACCCACTCACTCACTCACCCACTCATGCACTCACCCACCCACCCACTCACTCACCCACCCACTCACCCACCAACCCACCCACCCACTCACCCACCAACCCACCCACTCACTCACTCACCCACCCACCCACTCACCTACCCACCGACTCACTCACCCACCCACCCACTCACCCACCCACCCACTCACCCACCCACCCACCCACTCACCCACCCACTCACCACCCACCCACCCACTCACCCACTCACCCACCCACTCACCCACCCACCCCACTCACCGACCCACCACTCACCCACCCACCCACTCACCCACCCACTCACCCACCCACCCACTCACCCACCCACTCACCCACTCACCCACCCACTCACCCACCCCGCCACTTTTTTTTTTTATTACACACTTTATATGAACTCACTGTTGTTGTTGTCGTTTCCTCTAATCTTGTAACTCAATTTTAACCCACTTCCCAATGTGGTATCGACTGCAAACTTGGTATAATTATGTCTTACTGAGAACCGCTGGCATAGAAGACAGGTTAGGTAGTTTCAACAGCCATGTGCACGCCTTTGACCCAATCTGAATATTTATACTGGAGGAATCCATTGAGCTTTAAAGATTTTTTGTCCAATAGGAGCGGGTCAAAGAGTTACACCAACAAGCAATAAAAAAAACACGATAGTGCAGAGTATAGGAAAGGTAAGCAAATTACAAAAACATACAACTAAACTATGTTTTTTATTTTACCAGGTGAAGCCCATTGAGCTATTAGCTTCTTTATTAACGACTTGGCCACATGATATAGCTCAACAAAGTGGCTTATCATGTGATCATTTATAGCAGCCAAATAATCTAGACGCAAACTCATTCTATTAGCCTCGTGTAAATCATCACTTCTTAGATGCAAATTTCTATGCACGGTACCGCGAGTGTAACAATACAATTGAGTGAATTGTCCGCACGTGGAATTGTTACCACGGTGGTGGGTACCGTGGGTGCTGCGCCTGTGCGGGGCTTTCTCTGTCTTCAGGCGCACGTCCCGTACGCGGAGTATTTCCGACTGGAGGCTCTGAGCGAGTTCCATCGCATCGTGAGCCTGGAGCACTTCATGGAGCACCTCGCCCCGCACCACTGGCCCCCGGCCACCCGCACCGCCTACTGCTTCGAGGCGGCCGCGGCGCGCAGCCCCGACAAGCGCTCGTGCCCCATGAAGGTGCGGGCCGGAGGGTCGCTCAGTCGCGCTCTGCTTGTGGAGCTCTCGCTTAAAACACACACACGTCTTGAAGTCAACTTACTTGAGGTTTCGTGGGTTCATGTCGCAGCCTGGTCACGAATGACTTACAGAGAGACTCGTAGACTTGCATAGAGACCCTTAAACTCACATGGAGACGATGAGATTCATGTAGAAACCCATAGACTTTCATAGAGACTCAGACAGAACCACTTGCATGGTAACCCATAGACTTACATCAAGACCCATAAACTGACAGACTAAGTTGCAATTTAAACTGGACCTCAATTGTATTCAGTTAATGGTCTACATAAAAAAAAATATACATTTGGTTCTGCACTTAATTTGTATAAATTCCAGCTCAGGATTATAAGGTGGGGTTGACTGTCATGCAACGAAAATGTATCTGAAGTGGCAGAGCAAGTGGGAAAAAGTTCGATCCTCTGTGTGGAACAGAGGTGACGTAAAGAGATCTCGGTGTTCGGTGATCTCCACTTCTGCAGACCACTCTCTTAACACTGCTCTGTGACGGATTCAGATTGTTTCTTTTCTACATTCGAATGGATTCTTTATTTAATTTAAATAAATCGTGCCGATTACACAATTGAGATAAAATATCGGGAAAAGATTCCATCAAAAACAAATTCAACATGTTTGAGGTGGCTGTGTGGCTCATGAAGCTCATACTGGTTAAGGCAGAACACAAGAACACAGCCTTCACAGCTAAGATTGGAATCTCGGAAGCAGCGAGTTTTGTGATCTCAGTCCAGACAACACAAGGGTGCACGTGAAATTAATCCAGCTTCGTCCAATTTGGAGAGCAATTTAAGCTAAATCTGTCAAATGAATAACATGTTGTGAACCACGCGTTATGGAGTATGAAAGAGTGTAATTCATTGTATGGGAGGAGAAGCCTTTGGAAGCATCTCCAGTCGTGTGTATTATCATTTCAGGCCATTCTTGAACTGTAGTTGAACTAGAAGGACATTTCATCATCTCATGCCAAGGCCCTCATTGAACAATTGAGATATGATTGGTGATGAAGGAACATTAAAACTATTCTTAGCATACGGTATCCTTGGGTGCACAGCTGCCAGAAGAAATGGGCTTCGTGATGTACAGCATGTTCACGCTTATTTTGTAATTGAATTATCGGTGCGCGACGTGTTTGTGTGTATGTGACAGGACGGCAACCCCTTTGGGCCTTTCTGGGACCAGTTTGGAGTGGACTTTGTTCATTCGGAGGTGTTTAACAGCCTCTCCTACCATCCACACAGCATGCAGCGCTGGCTTGACAAGTACGCCTGAAACTCGGCTTCGAGTGGTAACAATGAAGCAGCTTGGCTTTCTCACAGTGCCCACTTGTGAACAAATATCAAGTACTACAATTACAAAATGATAATAATCCTTCACAGACCTTGCTTAATCCACTTCTGGATAAAGGCATCTCCATACAGAGTTAATTTAATTTGCCCAACGCCCAAACTATGTATCCCTTGTATTGGCAGCAAGTGGGAATGGTCGTATTGTGTGTAGGTTAAAGATAATGTACATGTTGAAACGCATTTAGCACATTGAAGTGGAGAAAGTGTTTGCAAAATATCACAGATGATTATGTGCTGCAGTGCACACACTTCATTTAATATTAAGCTTTCCAAAGCCTTTGTTCAGCAGTTTGACTTAAATATCCAGCTTTTAAATGTGGAAGGTATTGTTGTAATATGGAAGCCTACAGTTTGTATAAAAACGAAAATCAGCATTTGTAGTTAACACTCCTTTAAATATAATAGTCAAATGTTTTAGCCAATGCCACTTCTTAAAAGTGAATTCGTCCTTCAGATTAGAAGGGCAATTTGCTAAAGCAGCCCATTATGTAGTTTACAAGGCAGCATTAATGATAATCCTAATGTAATATTTATTTTGTGTTATTTGTGCTTGTGTGCATCACTGCCAGACTTATTATATTCCCTGCCTCCAGCTCAGGAGAGACGACATGGTCAAATGAACACTCTCCCTTCTCATTTACCAGCCTTGCTTCTGCAATCACACTCTCACCCGTTTGTTCAATGTCCTTCGTGACATCTCTTCATTATCTTCTTGGTTCTTTCGGTAAAGTTACGTAGAAGGAAAATAACAACAATAAAAATAAAACATAATAAAATAATTCTCACGACGTTTCGGCCACAACGCAAGCAGCCGTCTTCAGGTGGAGAACAGGTCTGTCAGACTCTGCCTTCTCGACAGACCTGTTCTCCACCTGAAGACGGCTGCTTGCGTTGTGGCCGAAACGTCATGAGAATTATTTTATTATGTTTTATTTTTATTATTTTATTATTTTCCTTCTACGTGACTTTACCGAAAGAACCAAGAAGACGAATCCCTGCAGTCACGAAAGCTTTAAATCGAAATCTCTTCATTACTTGTACTCAAGATCTATGCCAGTGCAGGCCTTTCGTATTGCATGTTGATTGAGGCCCACTGTCAATCTCGGGGCAGGTACCCGGCTCACAAGCACCCGGTGCTCGCGCTGCCCGGAGCGCCGGCGCAGTTCCCCGTGCTCCCCGAGCATCGCCGCCTTCAACGCTACGTCGTGTGGTCGGACAAGATGGTCTCCGAGGGCAATCGGCTCATCAGCGATCGACTAGCGAGGCCTTACCTGGCCATTCACCTGCGGGTCGGCTCAGACTGGGTAGGTAGCATCGCTTTGGCAACCTTACCTATGACGCTTTGGCCCAAAGTAGATTTGCTGCTGCTGCTGCAATGGATTAATAAAGCCAGTGGTGTTGCAGAAACCCCTCTGACAAGTTTACACATGCACAGGTCTTTTGTCAATCTATGATGGATGTTGGCTTCCCCACACTGTACATGTCTTGGGGGTGATTTGAACATACTTGACCATGCTGGACAGTGCAAATTGGCAAAGGCTGAGAGCACAGATGTTGGATTATAGTACTATACAACAATGGTTTTTACTGCGCCAGCTTCTGCTGCTCACAAAGTAGCCCCGCAAGTTTAATATAACCAATTTTATCATCTAACTATGAATGTCAATGCTTTATCCAGGAGATACATATTTAACGTGAAGCTAGTGTTGAATTGTGCACAAATGGCATCATGTGAATGAATATTGAATCTGAAATCAACCAGCGTGCCACAAATTTTTAGTTCACAATTCGACCATGTACGTCCAAGTACAATGACTCATTTTAGACAGCCAGAGCTCCACGCGCAAACGCTTTCAGCACGAGTTTCAAAAGCATGGGGCACCAATAAGAGTCCTCGCGTCTCAATCCTTTGTGCCTTGCGCCCACCCTTGCCTGTGCGCTGGCGCAGCACAACACGTGCGCCCTCCTGCGCGAGGGCAAGGTGGGCTCGCACCTCATGGCATCGCCGCAGTGCGTGGGCGACGACCTCGCAACGGCACGGCCCCTCACCATGGCCATGTGCCTGCCGAGCGTGACGGACGTGACGCGCTCTGTTCGTGCCTGGGCCACGCGCATCGGTGCGCGCTCCGTCTACGTCGCGACCGACTCGCACGACTACTCCGAGGAGATTGGCGAGGCTCTGCAAGGACAGGTCGGTGCAGCCCACATACAATGCCGTTTACACACGTCGGTTCTAGATTTGAAGCTTTCGTGACTGCAAGGAGTCCTACTCTTAGGTTTTTTCGGTGAAGTCACGTAGGTAAAAAATAAAATTAAAATTAATAAAAGTAATAAAAGAAATAAAATAAAATAATTATTTAATTTAATTTCTATTATTACTTTTATTATTTAAAAATAAAATAATAACTTTTATAAATTTTTATTATTTTAGAAATAAAATAAAATAATCATTTTAATTTCTATTATTACTTTTATTAATTTTATTTTTTGCCTACGTGACTTTAACACGTCGGTTTTTGCGACAAATGATTCCCATAATAGAGGTTTCTTTTTTGGGTTAGATCGCATAAATATACAGATACAATGCAGTTTGCTTCCATGTACACAGGGGTGAGGAAAATTTTTTGTACCAAGGGATGAATAGAATTCTCTTTGGTTGGCTACCATTTAGCTGATGCTAAACTTTGATCTGGCTCGAACTGTATGTATTGGTGACTATGCTAAGAATGACCTTCAAGTGATTAATAGGTCAAAATTATTCCCATCTAGAACCTGATCATTGTGGCTGAATGGCTTGCAGTGACGGATCAATAGTGCTTGCAGGCCGTTTGGAAGTGCGAGGCCTCGTGGCCACGCTTGGTGGTAGCCCCATTCAAGCACTATGCAGGTTTCACCCAGATTTCTCTTCCAAGCTCTTGACAAGATCAGGTAAATTCTGGGTAATTTAGTCACAAGAAGTTGGCATTTGTAAAGCATGTTATAGTGGCTGCTTCTCAGGACGCTGGTCAAAGTAGTGAGGTACATTAAGGGTTGGCTATGAATGGAGTAGAGATTATAAATTGTGATTGGAACATTTTATTAATTTGAGGCGGTAGGGAGCTGCGGTGAGGAGAATGAGATGAATGTTTGGTAAAGATGCAGATGAAGGTACTTCAAAGAGCAAAGCCAGTTGTAGACAAAGGAGAAGGGGGGAGGAGTCTTGAGCCTGGGCTTAAATAGGGGAATAAAAACTATACATTGTAGCGCACAGTAATGATAATACAGATGAATAACCTACACAAGCTGTTTGACATGAGAGGGTCACTTCTGTATCGTGGACATGTACTGCATTGTATTAGGAAGCCACTGGACCTTTAAATCTAGGTTTAAAATTAATTTAATTGGAACTGATTTTTACGTTTAGTTTTTCCCCCACACCTCCGATGAGCATGGTTGGCTGTGTACGGTGCGAAAAAAGTTCAACGTACTTATGTTTCGATTTAAAGCTTTCGTGACTTCAGGGATTCATCTTCTTGGTTATTTCGGTAAAGTCACGTAGAAGGAAAATAATAAAATAATAAAAATATAACATAAAATAATTCTCACGACGTTTCGGCCACAACGCAAGCAGCCGTCTTCAGGTGGAGAACAGGTCTGTCAAGTAGACAGTCTGAATGACTCTGTCCACCTGAAGACGGCTGCTTGCGTTGTGGCCGAAACGTCGTGAGAATTATTTTATTATGTTTTATTTTAATTTTATTATTTTCCTTCTACGTGACTTTACCGAAAGAACCAAGAAGGTACTTATGTTTTTTTCAGACGTGATAAGAAAACTGTGTTAAACATCTATTAAGTGCATCTCAAATCAAGCCAAAAGCTACACTTTTCAACACTTGTGTGTGCTAAAGTGAATGTAGTTTTTGTCAGGGGGGAGTCGGCTTGATCTGTCTCCAACCTGTGTGCATCGTGTTGTGCTTGCCAAGGTGAGAGTGGTGGCTGTGAAGCCAGACGTGGCACAGCTGGACCTGTACGTGCTGGCCCAGGCTGACCACTTCATCGGGAACTGCGTCTCGTCGTTCACGGCCTTCGTGAAGCGCGACAGAGACGTGCACGGGCGGCCCTCGTCCTTCTTTGGCATGGACGATGCCGACAGCGCCCGCAACGAGGAGCTCTGAATGTGAACGCAGTTTCTGGGAGTAAAAAAAACTATAAAACTGTGCGTGCGAAAAGCCTTTATTTGCTTATTTTGGTTATTGACCATCTTGTGATACTTGGGAACATTTTTTCAGATCAAAGTATTTATTGAACTGATAATTCAAATCAATGTCGGGTTTAATGTTTTTAGATAATAATGTAAACAGTAAATGACTGCCTCTGGGTTTTGGCACAATTTTGTGCAGTTGTCATATAAATGTAAACGTTTTTGTATCTCATTCCTGTCAAAGTGTATTTTATTGAGCATAATGGAATTGCATTCTGATCTAAAATCATGCTGAAGTTAGCAACACTCGCATTTTTTTTTATATTTAACAGTTAAGCAAATGTCAAGACATGTATAGTGTTCATGTACATTTGTCCTGCTATATTTAACTTGTGTTGGCCGAGGCTGCATCTGTCCTGTTGTAGTAAAAAGACAAGCCTGGAAATGCACAAGTGCCAGACGATGGGTGATTGATGTTGGGTTGTACCAGCTTGGTCATGTATCTTTTCTAAAGGTGGCGATGGAGGAATTTAGGAGTATTGAATAAAAATATTGGAATTGGCTGCAGAAGTTTGTGCAATGACTACTTCAAGTCAACATTGCACGAAGTGGAAAATTTACTTTCTGAAAACGATCACTACACAATTCTGTGAACCATTAAAATACTGGAGAACATGAATTTTGATTGGTTGTATGAAATTGCTCGTGTCATGTTTGCATTAATCACAAAAGTATAAACTAATATACAAGTTTCTCGTGTACAGTTTTTGCATAAATCTATTTTAGTTGGGTAATTTAAAGGACTACATTGACGTTTCAACTTGATTACATGAACACCTATGCTGGAAATAGTTCTATAGATTGGGCCCTTCCTTGTTTTCTTTGGCTTTTGTCAACAATACGACAGTTTTGCAAAACATCGCTTTAATATGAGTGCTGATAGCTGTAAACGATCATTGCACAGTTGCCAATGGGAAATATTCGCCTTAAATACCTGTCAACTCGAAAGGTTTACTTTTGTTTCTGTGAATAAAACACATTTTTAAATATTTCTGTGGCCTGTGTGCAAAAAGCACATGCTCTCGAGACCAGTATTTCCTTTGTGTAGGTGGCTTTAGGTATTCAGGATTCACTTGACAGATGTGTTTATGAAAAAGCGCTAATGCTGTCAACACGGCAGTGTGTGAGCTCTGGGGAGACGGTCTGCAGGTGCGCGTGCTTGTGTGTGTGTGCGCGCTCAGCGGCACGCACACTACCCGGCCCCAGGTGGCCGAGACGACTCTTATGTTTCTTGTTTGCACAACGCGGTGCGAAAGACACGTCAAATGAGCCCACGGTCGGATGAGCATGGAACAACCTGCGGGACAGTCCATCGCCAGTTCGTCTTCGCATTCCACTAAAACATGCTCAATACAGCTGCGTGGTGATGCAATATACAGTCGATTAATGTTACCGTTTTTCCTGAATTCACTCGTGGGGGAAAGCTGGTGCAGTGGTCGCCACTGCGTTATGAACCTGGTGACCCAACTTCGATTCCAGGCCACTGCTAACAAACTTGATGAGTGCCATCTGGACTGGTTCTCGGTCCCTCATGAACCCACTGACCATTGAGGTGGTGTATGGGCAAACAACAGCAATGACCGGCATAGCATGGGGAGGCCTTCGTCCAGCAGTGGATTAACAAAGAGCTGCATTTATATTGTATGCATATGCAAGTATACAATAGCTTGCCAGACAATACGTCTCATTCATATCTGTGTCCACATCAATACACTACAGTATTTTGCAAATCCATCAGCCCCACGGCCTTATGGGGAATTACTCACGCCTAAAAGGCCGATGATTGCGTAATATTAAAAAATATATATATGTGGAGAGACGGAGATATATGACGTCTGTTAGTAATTTATATTCTCCACGACGCTCATGATTATGTTGCATCGTGTCCAGTAGGTGGTAGTGTAGCTTCGCTTGAGACGAGTGGGTTCGCAATCTTTGCGGAGCAGCTGGCCACCCACTCGTAATCCTCGGAAACGTTTTCGCGGATCACCGTGCGGTCAAAAATCTGGCGTTTTGTAAAAAAAAAACTAATTTGCAACGGTTCTGCGAACCTTTTCCCACGGCCTTGCGGATCCTTTACCTTTGATCCGCGGATCACACGCTGGAAACCACTCGATTAGAGAGTGATGCTTGTCACTTCAGTTATTGTTTTTAAAAAATAATATATACTGTAGGTAGGTAGGCGCAGTGCCAAGCGTTTGAACTTCATAGACTGCAGAATGGGCACAAAAACTAACAGGGCAACGTGAACTTACCGATTTAGTCTAATCGGACATTAACTTCGAATGCAACTTCTAACGAGAGCCTGTGTAAAGTTTGACGCTGTTCGTTGGAGAGTCCTTTGTCGTTCCACTGCTGGATGAAGGCCACCGTGCACGTGTGAGTCGTGGGGTTAGTTTGACCATACTGCACGCTGGTGAAGGGGGGACCCACAGCTTGTTGAGGTGTCACCACATGTCAGCCGTGACCTGGAATTCAACTTTGGTCACTCTTTGGTGTTGTAATGTAATTTCTTTTTTTACCAAAGAAAACCTCAATTGGTGATAATCCTTTTCATGAGGGCTCTGCTGGGTCGTTTGGCCGAATAGATTTGTATTTGTAGTTGTGTCGTCTGCTAGGAAACAGGAGTCCACAGATAAACCGCAGTTTATTCATTACACAATGATTTAGGGCTGACTTTTCGCGTTATGTTAATGGAGTGTCATGTACATATACAAAATGTGTGTATTCATCAATTAGGTGTGTTGTATATTTGTAAGGAATTGGAGCGGTGGCACAGCTGTTAGAGAACGGTGCTCGGAACCCAGCCACCCGAGTTCGATTCCTGACTACGGCTAACAAAAGTGACGGGTGACATCTCAGCCGGTTCCTGAGTGCGCACCATGCTTTTGATCCGTATATTATAGCAGGTAATGGGCACTGATTAAAAAAAAAAACTTTCATAAACTTTGACACCAACTCGCACTGACCAGCGTCACGAATTGTGGTCAAACAAAGGCCATGAACCGTCGTGACGAGTGTCGGCCCTTCTTCCAGCAGTGCTTTGACTGACAAAGGGCCGTATATTTGGAAACCAGGAGAGCTTAGCGTCCTGCATTTTAAGAGCAGGTGCTTCCGTGATCCGTGCCTTACCAGCGCTTTTCATCCCAAATTCCATGCCGCGTTTTTTTTCTACAAGAGTTTCACCCCCACCACCACCACCGTCACCACCTCAAGCCCCCGTCAGTGGCTCTCACGCTAAAACAACAAGGATAACAAACAATACGAAAGGCAACGACTGCGAGAACAGTTTATACCCAGAGCTTTTAGAGGCACTCTCTTTAAAGAAAAAAAAGCATCCAAGCTCGCCTCTGAAACACGTGCAAGAGAACTGTGAACATTGTCAATTGTTTGCTTTTCTGGATTTGTCTTTTTTTACTTCAGAGATTTTTTTTTTAAAAACCGCAAAACTAAATCCACAGACAATTGGCTGTTGTTAGTCTGGTTCGACCCTACAATTTAAATGCAGCGCATAGGTGTCCATTACACAGATTGAACCATAACGTGGCTACGTAATATTTGGATGGGTGACCAACGAGCACAACCGCAGGGGCTACGCAGTGGGCAGCAAAGGACGACAATAAGATCTAAACATCTGAGACACATCTTCTTGGTTCTTTCGGTAAAGTCACGTAGAATGGAAATAATAAAATAATAAAAATTAAACATAATAAAAAAATGTTTTATTTTTATTATTTTATTATTTCCATTCTACGTGCCTTTACCGAAAGAACCAAGAAGATGAATCCCTGCAGTCACGAAAGCTTTAAATCGAAAAAATCTGAGACACAATCAACTCAGTACATCATTGGAACTTCATTTGCCAGTAACAAAATATGATAATTGGTTTTTTACCCTTTTATCTGGCAACAAAACTGACACCTTTTTTTTACAAGGAGTCATGTTTGCATTTACCACAATACCTGCAGTCGGAATGCAAACAAAAAACACAACACTCATAATGTATGCACTGTCCTTGAAATTGATTGGTCAACACCCGAGACAGCTTTCTTTAGAGCCTAGTCTCACATGGTGTTGGACCAGATGACGCCAAAAGGCGCACAAGGACAGTGCATACATTATCAGAGTTGTGTTTTTTGTTTGCGTTCCAACCGCAGGTATTGTGGTCAATGCAAACATGACTCCTTGTAAAAAAAAAGGTGTCAGTTTTGTTGCCAGATAAAGGGGTAAAAAAACAATTATCAAACTCAGTACATTTGAGAACCTGGTTTAATCACGGATGCCTGAAATCTGCATTTGAACCCAGAATCTCAGCGGCGCCAGTTCGGCACCCTGACATCCGAGTCACTCGGTTATCTAAAAATTAAATTAATGAAAAGCCGATAGTTGCAAAATACAATCTAGCTACCTTCTGGGTAGCAGAGGTATGTTGCAGCAATATCCATCGTTGTAATACGCTCCCAATGTCTCTCACGCAATGATAAGCGTGGTGAAGTATGGTCAAACAAACCCACGCGACCCGCAAGGCGCTGGGAGGCCCTCATCCAGCAGTGGAGTGAAAAAAGCAATGGGCGTGTACATGTATGATAGCAGAACATATTCTCGTAGAAAGCAGCACAGGAAGTAGGTTGTGATGTGCGGTACCCCCTTGCACGTGTGTGAGCTTTCTCCGGGCACTGCAATTTTCTTGGCACACGCATACCCACTCAAGTAGCTGGCCGGATATTCCTCCACTCCACCCAATTCACTGTAGAAGTCATCTCAAGATTCCATGAATAACTGCACACGTTGGCAAATTCTGCACTTCTGCCCGTATCAAGACCGCACAATGCCACCCTTTGTCGAATTTAAATCACTCGGAGGGGGTGGTGGTAAATACTCAACAAATACGGGGAATTTTAAGAGCATTTACAGAGGCGTGCTTGTCTCCGTTCTGATAAATACCACATCTTGGGGAATATAGCGTGTAAAATTGTGACTTGTCGCATGGGTATCTATGTACTGTATTTTTGTTTTCCAAAACTACTGCGTCAACTTGTATAGGACTCTTTCGCGTGTAATTTAAACAAGGAAGGTGTAAAACAATCACGCACGAGAACGACACTGCCACGTGTCTAATCGTTGTGGACATGTTCAGTCGTTTGTTCGTCTACTGCTGGATGGAGACCTCCCCACGCCGTACGGGTGTCATGGGGAGGGATCGTGAGACCAAGACTCCACGATGCTATTCGGGGGAGCATAGAATTGGAACATCGTACGGTGCAATAATCCATCTTGCTGTACTGCCCATCACGAAGAACCCGCAGCAGACGACAACACGTGTTCGGCGGTTCACTGTGCTCACCCAACCCTTCCTGGCACTGTCCAGGCTCGAGCCTGCTTAGCTTCCGAGATCCGACGAGGTGGACGCACTTCGGGTGATTTGGTGCGATGTCGACACGTTGCACGCTTGGCTACGTGCGGTGCGAAAGAAGTGCATCACACAGACAATATGCGGCATTTCAACACGTAGGTAGCATGCTTTCGCGACCAATATCCATACTCTTGGTGTTTTGGGTTAGATCGCGTAAATATATAAATGTGTCGTTAAACCCGCCACCACCCGACACAGCCAACTAGTAAGGGTTGTCACGTAAACAGAACGTGGCCAATTCGTCACGAGTACAGCACTAGTGGGTAGTGTATTGTATAGTGTAGTGTATAGTGTAGTGTATAGTAGCGTAATGTATAGTGTAGTGTACTAGTACAGCACACCGGTGTGTTGGAGAGCCAAGCCACAACATTTACAGTCTGAGTACGACGTTTCGCCAGTAATTACAACTAGCATCATCAGGCGAGAGCCAGATTTGTGTAGACAACAGACGGCATGATGTTTGCGATGTGCGTTCACAGCACGTAGAAAGTGTATTATTTGTAGCCCTAGACATTGATACAGTATACCACTACTTATGCAGTGTCGTGCGGTCTATCGTCTACACATCGTCGTGCATACACACACACACACGGATTATACCATACACCGTAGTTTTGGAATAAATCGTAAAAACAATATGCGATAATGGCACTCATGAATGGTTTAGCCAAAAAATACCTTAATCCAGTACCCGCTTGAAAGGGTCTTCAAATGAGTCAGCCTTTCCACGATCAAGAGGGCATCATTAATGTCATGCATTTAGCCTAATCTTATACAACGGTCATTATCAACTGCACTACTTGCCTGCATACACGTGCTGTATTGTGTGTACAACACGCGATCTGTGAACGAATATTCGTTCACTATACGGAGGGGTGGTAGCGTCGTGGTTCGTGTAAATTCGCTACGAACGCGGCTACCCAAATTAGACCGCCCCATACACGACTAACACCAGCGCTGAGTGATATCTGAATCGGTCCTGGACCCGCGCACTGGCAAGCTTAGTGAGGCATGGCCTTCATCAAGCAGCGTAGACAAACAAGGGTGTGCATTCTCTCTTCATGTACATCGACAAGGGCACGTAGTCGTGTGAGAGCCAACTCGTTGGTCGACAACACGTGCTTGTGTCTTTGTTGCAACAAGTGTCGTCTTCGCACGTGTAGCAGTGGCAGTGGTATTGCACTACCGTCTGCGCGTATAGCCACCGCCGCACTCAACACCACCACTGACGGGAAACGCCTCCTCCTCCTCAAGGCCACGGGGAGGCAAGAAAGGATGGGAGGCAGGGCAGGGCAGGAGGGAATGATTTGGGGGGTGGGGAGGTGGGGAGTGCCTCTGCTGAGTGGTTAACCCGTGGCTGCTGGGGCAGCCTCCGCAATCGGCGAATTCGCTCTCCCTGCAGACGCACCGCGACTAAGCCACCAGCAGCACAAGCCGTGGGCTCACACACGTGTCTCCTCGCCGTGTGCCACGCGACCAGGTGTCGCTCACCTGCGCATATCATCGCACGCCTGCCTCGTCACGTGGATGGATTAACTGGGGATTTGTGGTGGCGAGGGCAGAGAAAGGATAGAGAGTGGGGCAGCTCGAGCGAGTGGAGCCGGTGTAGGGACATCAGCGGATGATGATGATGGCGGGGATGATGAAGATGATGCCCGCGGTGCTGGTGATGGTGCTGCTGCTCGGATGGTCTCCTGCGGCTGTCGCTTGCCCCAGCCGCTGCTTGTGCTTTCGCACCACGGTGAGGTGCATGCACCTCCAACTGGACACGGTGCCTCGTGTGGACCCACGCACCACCATCCTGTGAGTACAACACGTGCACACACGCACGCGCACGCACACGCCTGTGTCACTGACTCACTGAGCCCCAGAGACTCAGAGTCCCACAGCCACTGAGCCACGTACCAACGGAGTCACCGTGAGCCACCATCATCCACACACTCACTCGTAGAAGCACGTGGAGACAATTCCGAATATGGGAGGTTTGGGAGCAAGCAGCCGTATCGTATTGACGGTGAAGAAAAGTCAGTGGACTTGGGCAGGACACATCGACAGACGTGGTCAGATGGTCCAGTGGTCGAGAGAGGTATGAACGAGAGCCAATGGAGGGAGCACATCCAAGAGGATCGAAGTGGACCGATGAACTCGGCTTTTGCGCAGGTGTTCACCGGATTACTGTGAGAGATCACGACGGATTGGGGAGGTCTTCATCCAGCAGTAGATGGGTAATTGCTGCTGCTGATGAACTGGCCAGGGAAGGCGCATGTTGAATAGCCGAAGGGGCCGTGACTTAATTGAGCAGGAACCGATTCCTCCTCCCCCCCCCCATCCCTCACTGTTCGTAAGCTGCGAGGGAAGTTTAAATTCTTTCCGTCTCTTTTGTTCCCACGCCCACAACTGCGAGTCCAACTCAGTTATGAGAAGTCACTCCCCGCCTCTGCGACAACTACACTCTCCTTTTTTCTTCTTCTTGGTTCTTTCGGTAAAGTCACGTAGAAGAGAAATAATAAAGAATAAAAATAAAGCATAAAATTATTTTATTGTATTATGTTTTATTTTTTATTATTTTATTATTTCCCTCCAACGTGACTTTACCGAAAGAACCAAGAAGATGAATCCCTGCAGTCACGAAAGCTTTAAATCGAAACTACACTCTCATTCTCTGCTCCTTAAATGCATTCATTAGCCAAACTTTTTGATTTGTGGAAGTTACATTCAAGCTTACGAGGTTGGGGAAAACGATGATGATGATGCGGTGATATTTGTTCCGGTCTTAAAGCTGGCATTCTTTTTGTTTTTATTTTACGTTTTAAGTTGTTTTTTTACCGGCATAAACAACGTGAATTTGAGAAGAATGTGTGGGGTGAGCTGACTTCCTTTGGTGACCGTGACCCCCCCTCCCACCCAGGGCGTGTTCCGGTGGCCAGCGATCGGTCATTTCGAACCTCGACCCGCGCTGTTGCTTCTGTGTTGTTGCATGGCGCAGTGCCTATGGACTTCTTTCGCACCGTACGTTGTCAACCCCGCTAATCGGAGGTTGCGGTGAAAGGACAGCGAACTGAACACAAACAAGCAGGTTCTAAAGAAATTCGTTTTCAACTTGGTATAGTGTATAGTAGTGTATAGTAGTGTATCGTAGTGCATTACAGTGTATAGTCTATATGTATGTTGGACTTATTTTGCACCGTACGTAGCCAACGGTGCTTATGGGAGGTGTAGGGAAGGACAACAAACTAAAATGCCACGATGCCTTCCCCTATTCCACTTTTCTTGACGGACAATTCAATGTCTCTAATTTGTGGGTGTTCTCTGATTCATGTTGTTATTATTATTCCTACTACGATTGCTTAGTCAGGAAAGCCTCACCGAGTCTCAAGACTCTTTGTCGTGAGCGTCTTGCCAAGCAAGTCGTCGCAGGAGGCAATGTTTCTGCTATGTGAAATCACAATGTGAGTAATTTGTATGCAATCGTTGTTGCATTGGGATGTTTGGCCAATGCCAGTTTCGTAGAAAGTTGGTTCTGTCTATACTGCAAAGGGAGGAAACCAGAGAACCCTGAGGAAACCCAAGCAGAACAAGAGGAGGCCATACAAACTGCACGTAAGGCACCTACACGAGAGGAATCCAACCTAGGCCATGTGACACGCTGCTGCCCGAGTGGTCCTCTTTACATCTCTCGGTGTTATTTCAAACACGAACCTCTCTGCACGCTTCTTTGCACGTACCTCAGCTCGTTCCAGCTTTGTCAATGTCCATGTTTCAGATCGATTTGCCACAGTAGGTAACACGCGCATCATTCAAACTCTTATTTTTTTCACACTTTGGAATGTTACATGCCCCCCCCCCCTCGGCTTACCAAGCTGCACTGACCAGCAGCGCAGTGACCACTAGCCAAACAACCCCCTTGACCAACACACATGGGGAGGATTTCATCTAGCAGTGGAGTGACAAGGGGTTGTCGTTTATCACTGTCATAAATTTTAATCTGTTTTCAAACGAGGCTGGTTCCCAGAACCCATGTCTACAGCATTTATCATGAGTCTCTAAACGATTCTGCCTTTTAAGTTTCATAAGCCCGCTATAAATCTAGCTTGCCAAATTCTGTCTTGAATTTCCACGTTACTTCAAATTAAAAAGGCTAATCTGCCCTCGGCTTTACAATGGCTTTTACAGCTTGAAAAATAAGGATTAATCTTGGCTCGGAAGGATGTATTATGTGCCGATATTAACTTACAGCAATTACGATTAAACGCTTTCAGTTTTTTGAGTGTTATTTTTTCGCTAGCTATGGACAAAAGGCAGTGTATCCGCAGTGTTCCTCACTGTACAATCATAATACTTTACAGCTCTTGTTCTCAATCCGCTACTGGATGAAGGCTTCCTCTCCGCGCAAGTGTCGTTCATGTGGGTTGTTGGGCCATGCTAAATAAACCACGCTGGTCAGTGCGGGTTAGTGACCCGGGAACGGTTCAAAGAACACATTCCTGCGGAGGGAGCTGGAAGGAACGTTGGGTTACTCGGTCAATGGCCAGGGTCAACGACGGCGTGGTGTATTCCGCAAATATGGCCGACTGCGAGGGCGGGCACAAGCCGGCGTGAGTAGGTTAAACGTTGAGTTTTATAAGGGCACCACGAGGTGACCAGCCCCTCCCCACCCTCCCCACCCAGCCCCTCCCCACCCCCCCTCCCCACCCAGCCCCTCCCTCCCCACCCAGCCCCTCCCTGCACGACGGACACAATAATCCCCTGTGGGCTGGTATCACCAGGAGGTTCCTACCAGTATCAAGTGACACTGATGTTAGCAGTAGCCAGGAATCGAACTCTGGCTAATGGGGTTCATAACCGTACTGCATTAACCACGTTGTCACCACTTCCAACACGTGAATTACATTCTCATGAGTAAATATTCGTCTCATTTCTAAAATAATTCCATTGTCTCATTAATCACAATGGACACGCTACATGTGGGAGGTAGTACAGAAAATAGGTTGCTGATAGCTTGTAAGTGGACGTTTAAAAAACAAGTATATCCGTGTATGTATGCTCACGTTTCTTCCCACAGGCAGAAATATTCGGTAATGAGCTCACAAAAAAAACATCTCGCAGTAGGCTCTCCAGAAACGAAAAGAGTCCTGGAGGCTGCTCTGGGTAAATAATTATTTTATGCTAAAACATGCAACATCTATTAGCCTGACTGATTTTCCGTTTTGGCCCATGACACAATGTTCCTGCTAATGTTATGTAGCACTCTACAGTTTCCAATCTGCTCATCGGAGCGGGCTTGTGGGGTGCCAGGGATATTTGTTGTCGTGTGTGTTGTGTGTACAGAACAGAGCACACGTAGAAGTCATCCCCTCTTCTGTTCGCAGAGCGTGAGCAGCCGCACGCGTTCGGGCTGTCAGCATTCAACTCCGTGCACAATCTCGAGTCCTAAGGCTGACAATTAAAAACGATATATATCTGAAGGAAACCAAACTTGCCAGAATTTGAAATTATACGCCGTATTAGCGCGTTGACGTTATACTGTGGCACGGAAATACACAGCACGTAATGAGCCAAGTCCAGGCAGACCACTCTGCGCACTGGCTTTGGCGACGTTATCGTTAAACAAACACGCGGTTTGCCGCGTCGCAGTCGTATACTCGGACCCTTCATATTTGGCAGCACAAATGGCAAGCGGCATGCGGACCGGGGTTCGTCCATAACCGATGTTCGCCGGAATTCTGGTGTTCGCCGGGAACCCTTCCCGAGGGAGAGGCGAACACAAAGATCCCCCGTAGAGCCTTAACAGACTATAGGGGCAAGTGCTGTTAGCGAGCACCTATGAAGGCCGGAACGGTACACGAGGGGGTGGGTGGCCAGCACCACGCCCGACCGCCTTTGTCTCCCTAGTGGCGATGTTTACACACCGCACCAGGTACTCATTTGAGGCTGAGTCGACCTAGGGGAGGCCCAGGAGCGGTTCAGATAATCGCCACTGGTGTTGGCCGTGAGCGGGAATCGAACTCGGGTCGCCAGGTTCATAGCGCAGCGCGCTAACCGCTACACACACACACAAACCTGCCACCCCCATCATCAGAACTGCTCATGTTTGCTTTCGATTAAAAGCGCTGCAGAGCACAGTACCGCCGGAACCTCCCATCAAAGAAATGCAACCTATTGTGTCAAGTTGGAAATTCTTTGGAATTAAGCGTTCGAACGTGTTAGCAATAGTGCGGGATCCTCTAGCCAAAGCTATGCGGCGGTGGTTTATGAGAAAGAAAAAAATGCGTGTTTATACTGCCCTGTATACACAAACGCTCCGTTGCGTTACGTAATAATGTTTGTGTAAACAGAGTTGACACTCGTAAGCTGTTACTAAGCACAGACATATAATCTAGTTTTCAAGCAATGCCCCTTTCTACATCGTGCAAGCTGAAGTGGCCGCTTGTTAGGGATTTCATAATTGTCTTTTCCTACGAAAGGGGACACACGAGAGAGAGAGAGCCGCCTTCGCCCGGACTCGACGCTTGAGAGATGGACGCGAGAGATTTGAGCCCTCGATCTGTCAGCGCACCACCGCTCCTCCTCCGAGCGCTCTCTGACACGGCCGGAAGGGAGTTGTAGGTTGTAGGCGAGCGGCGAAGATGAGACGCTCCCTTGAGGCTTCGCCGCTGTCACTGTGGCACGAGCGGTCCGAGTCGGAGGAGGCTTTTCCGTCCTGTATTTCATTTCCAAACAGATCAGCCCCTCTGCGCATGTTTGTTTCTGATGTTTCCCTGGGAACGCAAAGCCTCCCTCCCCCACCACCACTACCACCACGT